GAACCGTGAACATTTTGGAAATGTGTTCGTAAAATAACTTCCAACTAGCGAGAATTTTCTATTGCACGAACTTTTCTTTGAAATCCACATTCCCTAAATGTTTCAGAACATTTTGAACTTTAACGCATTTTAAGGGGGAAATGACCTCGAATTGAATCTCAGGCGGTAATGTATGTTTAAAATTACTTTTATAATAAATGCAGCTGTAATTTTATACATACATTTATCTTTTCTTAGTTTAAAATGTATGTAGCATGATAGCGCAACACTGGATAATGTTTTGCCCTATTCTAGCTTTCCATGCAGATTTCTTTTATGGCTAAGATTTATCAAATAAATACTAGTTTACAAGATAAAGGTGCATCCAATTGCTATTTTAATTATGTCTAGTGTTTATGAATATAAAACCTATCTTGTGTTGTTTTAGTATTTTAAAAGGTGATTTTCTATATAACCAATTTTCAATTTAGCGAACTTATTACAGAGATTTAGCGACATCGTTAAATAGAGGTCCGACAGTATTTACAAATCAAGAGGGGAAAAAACTTCAAAGATTTGTTAAAAAAAATAAAGAATTAACTATGAAGGCTGACTAATAACAATGAAATGAGTGGTTATATTATAAACAATGATCTATTCAAGAAGAAGAGTTCAGTGGACGAGCATGGCTGCCCACCTTGAACTACTTAGAATAAGTGATGGTCTAACCGTTATTACACTTTTACGGGTTTGCACAGTTACACAAACAGAAACTGGTTATTGCCTTTATATACTGTCATCAGTTTTTCCTACTTTCATTAACATTTATTAATTCTTAATAAATAGTCATCACCGCCGCTGTTTCCCCCCCCCTCCCCAACTTTCTTTACATTATTTATTTATGCGTAGCCAAATTTTTCTTCAAAAAAATAAGCACCTTTTAAGCACTGAAAAAATATTTTTAAGCACTTTGAAAAATATCATAATTAGACAGGATTGGCAAGTTTTTGACGAAGACGACGGGGCGTCACAAACGATGAAATTAACGAGAGAAATGAAATTTACTATCACTAATAGAGAAAAAAAATATTGACAATGTTCAGTGGGTCCCCGTAATCAGCAAAAATTCGAGAGATGTTTCGATTCTATTTCAGGGGGCGGATAATGAAGTCTGAAATTAAGAATCTCTCGCAGCAGCGCTGCACATGAGAGTCAAAAATCCTTACCACTGAATCCAGCAAGTATTTCATCGAACATGTAAAACAAATGGTGCTTTCATACACTACAGACCGATGGTACGCCGAAATAGATTGGGGTTGAATTAGTGAAAACGTTGAAATAGGACAATGTCTTTTTGCATAATTTGTGACGAAAATCAACAATGTAAAGAAAAATATCACATTTCGGAAAAGGGAAAATGAAGCACTTTTTAAAAACACCCATGGAAAAAAGCACCTTTAAAAAACGTTATGCACCCTTAATATAACTATGAAAAATATAAAGGTGCGTAGAAAAACATACAGAGAATAAGATGGAATACAAAATTTAATTCTTTAGTTAATTCGATAATTATTAACTGCTAAAATTTTAGAAAAAAGTGGCAGATCGAAGAAGTGCAACTACGGAGTTAAAATGAGTCATGCTTAAGAGGACCGGAAGAAAATATTCGTCTCTAATTCTATTTCTCCTTCATTACTAAAAGAAAGAAAAAGTTAAGTTCAGGCAAACCTAGAATTTATCATGAAGTTTCAATGACTGAAAAAAAAAAATACTTCAAATTATTAAAAGAGAACTTCTTTGTTGCTTAAGTTATCATCTCATCATTTATTTTTATTTGTATAATTTAAAATTTTCTCTTCAGTATTTGAAATTTCCATGGCTTACTCTAGGTTTGTCTGAACTCACTTTTCCTACACTTTAAATTAGTAACGAAAAAGAAAGAGAATTTGCGACGAATATGGCGTCCTCTTAAGGCCATTTGAAATGTGTTGTTCTTTTTTCGAAATTCCAATTTGTTTTTAAGTTATTTAAATTTTTAGTGCTTTCTTCCCTTTAATTATTGACTCCATAACATTATTATCAAATATCAAAATATAAATAAATAGTAATCCAGTGCTAAAATAAGTTTCAAATGTGTGATGCATGTGAGTGCATATAACAGGGGTGGACAAGCTCCTTGATAGACGAGCCATTTTTCAAAAATTGACATTTTTCGCGAGCCGCAATTAAATCTACGTATTTAAAAGGTATTAAAAAATTTTATACTGAAGTTATATTTTTTGAAGACATAAAAATAAAAGTACCGTCATGTGGGGTTACTTTGTGCAGGATTTCGCAGTTTTTGAACTTTGACATGTAAAAAAACTATGTTAATTCAAATTTTAGTAAAATGTATCGATATTATATTCATAAGTGGACTCAGACGAATGAATTTGATCAATATTGGCATTATTTGTATGTAATATTAACAAATAATAAGTCAAAACATACAGCGATAGTCAAACATACAGCGATAGGAATTCAGTTTAATAATAATTTTTTTAGTAAAATATTGATATAAAATTGTTAAAAAAGTTAATTGTTGACATTTTTAATAACAAAAACATCANTTAAAAGATAACAAATAATAAGTCAAAACATACAGCGATAGTCAAAACATACAGCGATAGAAATTCAGTTTAATAATAATTTTTTTAGTAAAATATTGATATAAAATTGTTAAAAAAGTTAATTGTTGACATTTTTAATAACAAAAACATCAAGATATGTAAAGATATTAGTTTGAAAATAATTTTCAGTGTTAAAACCATTTTTTATAAAGAATATTTTCTTGAAAAGAATGTTTATTAAAAAACATTTGAGTTTAAACAAAAGGAAACCATATACATTTTTGAACATAGAAATGAATGAAATTTCAAAAATAATAATTATTACATATTCATTAACATTTATAATATTGATAAATTTGAACATAACATCCTTGAATGAACATGACAGAACTTACTCTTCAGTTTCTATCAAAATCATCTGATGTCCTATAAAATTTATTTTTATGCGTTAAATCGTTTGATTAATTCATTGGAAAAATCTTTGTAGAAGAAAAATAATAGTTTACCAGCACGTTTCACGTGTTTCTTGTGAATTTTATTAGAGATAGTATTTCTATGGATTTTAAACTTCCGAGAAGCTTCTGCAATCGACATATCACCAGTAACTGCTTGCAAACATTGTTGCAGTTTTTCTAAAGTGTAATCACGGTAGTTTCTCATTCCAGGTATTTTTTTTAATAACGTTTGACCATTTTTCTGTCGAAAAAAAAACGAATGAAACTTTGCACAAAGTAGCCCCACAGTGCATTTTTTTTTTTCATTTTCCGTTTATTTGTTATTAATTTTCAAATTTTTTTTAACGCTAACATGATATAATTGCTTATTAATATATAAATAAAAACTTTTGCACTTACGACAATTTGTATTCCATCTTCAAATTCCACACATTTTTAAAGTGAAAAAAACATAATACTGAATAGCAGCACTTGAAAAGTGCCTAATTCGAATTTGCACAAAGTAGCCCCACATGATGGTACAAAATATGTGTATTGAATTTAAATATTAAACACATTTATTTTACTTCCTTTCATAATTCTTTAAAATTTGGTGAATAATTGGTGACAGAACTTCTCAGTAATTCTTTGAGATGCTGGTTAGTTTGTGGTGCGCAAGAGTAATAAATTTTTTTTTAAAATTTCCAATGAGCTGCATAGTCGGTCTTGCCGATGAGCAGACCTAGTGCGCTCTCCAGAGGTGGTTCAGAACCACCAACAATGGGTGAGATACCGTTGGTCATGTTAATTTGTACGTCTAGTTTCTGCCACACTAGATGGCAGCACCGAGACGCTATTTGGATGCTTAAGTGCACTAGGAATTTAACTTTGCCGGAAATGCCAAGAGCCAATGAGGCACTCCAGGGATCTTTTACATGCCACATAATCATACATGGCCGCTGAGGATTTTCTGCATCCCGAAAAACGGGTGTCTGGGCCGGGGATCGAACCCGCAGACATGGGCTCAGAAGGCCGAGGACAAACCAACTGCGCCACCCAGCCACCTAGAGCAATAATATAACAAGCATTTAAATTTAGTTTTAAGAAAAATAAAAACTCAATAATAATTACTATCTTGACATTGGGATGTAAAAGTATTAATGGACGTATATATTTTATATTAACTTGTAAATAACTGTGTATATTAAATGCTATGATGTCTCCAATTTACTTTGTTTTTATTTATCCAAAATTGCACATAGTAGGAAGATAGAAAACCTTCCCTTACAAGTTAATACTAATCGGTGCTTGGATTTCGCGAATTTTAAAGTGGCATAAAATGATTCACACAAGTACGCTGTTCTGAATATGGAAATAATTAGACACGCAGCCTTTTTTAATTCAGGATACTTCGATTCTGGTTCAAATTTCTATAGTTCAGTAATCGACGTCGACTTATATTTTAATTGTAGAGATTGATCGTTTTGCATCTTTATTAATTCTAATTCTTCAGATGCTTTCTGGATCATATTTTATTTATCTTGGAAATGGAAAACTCACCTTGAATTATGCTTACTTCAAATGGATTCAGAAAAATTTTAAAATATAATAGCACAAAAATGAAAAGGCAACTCGGATACATTTATCGAGAGCCACAAATAATCCTTTATAGAGCCGCAGGTTGGCCACCCCTGACATAAAACACTTTGTAACGTGTTGTCAGAAGAAACATTTCAGACTTTTGCACCAATTTATTTGTATTATTAATTACACTTTAATTACCTATATGTTAAGTCAATTTATAAAATTACACTTAATTATTAATATAAGCTTTTTTTAAAAATAAGGTACCTATCCATGCTCTCTTTTGAAAAAAAAAAAAAGAACATGAAAAACCCACGCAAGTTGGGTTTTTCTGGCTTTTTTTTGCAACTCTGATACTAATCCTTTCTTGTCACATCACAAATAAATAACAGACTTGACTCAGCAAAGTGATTTTATTCACAAAGGCACCAATATATATAGATATATATATATAATAAATATATACAACAAGTAGACTATCTTCAATAATTTAAAAAAATAATAATAACAATAAAAAACTATCTCAAACCAAAGATGGAAACAGCTCTGTTAACGTATCGTCCCACGGGTTGCCAGCATCCCCACAAGGAGAAGGTACAGAGAAAGAAGAATCGTATCCCGCATCACTCGATGATGATGCAGGACTAGAGCAGGGTTCGTTGGTGGGAGGAGATAATAAATGCTCGTCGTTGAAAGAGAATGATATGACGTCGTCACAGGGTTCTTCTGATGGGATGGTAATGATAGGAATGCTGCTATCCACCAGTAACGGAGGAGGAATATGGCTGTCCTTTGTGGATAATTCACTTTCTGGTAAGGATAAGCAGAGACTCCTGTCCTCGAGGACAGAGTCTTCCTGCTTGGAATAGATATGGTCAAAATGAATCAGTTCTTTGTTGGATTCCAAGCTTTTTGATGGGGCCCCCACCACTTCCTCAGTGTACAAGACTTGCTGCTGAAATGATACATCATACTTGGAATTATATTTTGAACACTGTAAATATAAAACTCTACACAAAGTAAAATTTTATTTGAAGAAATATGCAATGCAATAGCTGCCAACATGGATAGGAAAAGATCCAGTAGATTTTACAAAATATAAATTTCATGAAAATTATTACATAATGTACTTACATGTTTTACGCATAGGGGATTTCAGGGATTTTTATAGTGACCAAAATAGAAAAATTGCTATATTTTCCAGTTATGATTGAAATTAAACATACTTGAAATGTTATGTATTATGTAAATTATTCATCGCATAATTTCAAATAGTAAAAGGCTTTTAATTCATCAACAATAGTTAAAAGATTTTTTTATTAATTTAAAAAGAGAGTTCTGAATAAAAATAAACTAACTATTTTAGAACAAAAAATTGTTTTGAACTGATTTCTATAAATAAGGTTCGCTTCATAATGTATTAGTAATACTTATTTAAATATTCAAACAAGCAAAGTGAAAATCTGTACAAAAATTAGATTTCAATAGGGATTTTTTTAAGGAAAACCTCAATTTTAGGGAATTTTCTAAAATATACAAAAACCAGGATAATTTTAATTACACCAGTAGATCAGGCAAAAATTGGAAAACTCCAGTAGAGTTGGCAGCTATGGCAATGGTTAGAGGTAAACATTTGTATAAGAGTGAACTATGTCTGCCCAATTCATATCAAAGATGAGCATTCTTCATTCAGAATAATAAATAAAGGCTAAATTATTCGAAATCCTCCAAAATAATGACAAAATATAGATTCATTTTTAAAAAAAATATTTTGACTAAACTTTTTAGTATTTATTCCTTATAGTCATTAGTCAAGAATGTATTCAAAATGCCAACCGACAATCTCAATGAAGAATAACACTTTTTAGTGGATTCTGCTATGAAAACTACTAGCAGTTAGATTATTTGTACGATAAATACCTTTTAATTGAGATTTGTAGCCAAAGTTGTAATTAAGTTAAACTCACATTTCAGTAAAATGGAATTGAAGGTTAGATTACCCATACATGAAAAGTTTTAAGTATATAAACTGTGCTTTCATATATTTATGTACGAATGATATGTATGAATTTAAAATATACATAATACAATGTCATAGTCAGATAATCTAGAATTGGGGTGTCTTGAAACATTCTGATTCTCAAAGAGATGACTCCAATAAAAAAGGGATAAAGAATTTAGATAGTATTTTCATATTTTATTATTGTCCGCTAAACTCATATGTTTAAATCTATATTAAAAAATGAGAGTAATCGCATGATCTTAACTAAAGTATAGTGCACAAAAAAGGGATCACCCTAAATAACTTTTGATCTTTATCATTATAGGACTCAATCTTATTGGTCTGAGGGGAAGATCTCAAAATCAGAATTATAATTTTACCTAACTCTTTAAAAAAAAAAAAAAAAAAAAAAAAAAAAAAAAAAAAACGAATGAATGAATTTTTTTAAATAAACCAAACTGAAAAAAATTTAGTGCGTTTTTTCCCCTTCATAATTGCCTTTCATTATTAATAAATCAGCTCTTGATGATAGGTTTATAACAGAATCAATTGCAAACTGCATACATCGAAATATTTATTTTTATTATTTCTGTATTCTGTGCTTTAAAATTTTTAATTCACCTTTTTAAAATATATGTGCTAAGGTAATCTCACAAAAATTTTAGGTACTAATTCACATTACAATTGAAATATTACAGACGTGCCAATCTGGGAAAATGAAAAAAAAAAAAAAAGGGTTTTCGAAAGGAAAAGAGAAATGATCATGCAACATAATAGCATTTTGTACCAAAAAAGAAATTTAATCAGTGGAAATCTTTCACTGTTGAAAATGTGTTCGAAATGAAAAATTCGTGGCAATAAGTGACAAAGACACTATCCTAAATAATCTTGTGATTATGAGTGAGCCATCAATAACAGAGTGCGTAAAAATGGGATTCTTTAAATGTGCTATTCGAAGTTCACCGAACTTTGAATTGAAATATTAAGAATTAAAAAACCATATGAAAATATTAATATAAAAAACCACATCGATTTAAATTTGAATAGTCGCTAATCGAGTGGGTAATTAAATGACATTAGTGGTATTTAAATTAAATGCTTAATTTGGAATTTGTGGCACATTATAATGTAGTATTAAAATCTCGAGATTTTAAAAACCAGGTGGAAACCTGCAATAATAGCTGCCAAAATTGTGATTGGAAAACTTTGTTTATTTATACCTTGCTGTATGAAATTGATGTTGACTATACCCTATTTGTTATTTTTAACTAAATAAAGATGTTTGTTTACCTCAAAAACCTATTTTATGGGAAATCTAGCTTACCCTCCCTATATTCTTACTCCTATATTCTCTATATGCAGAGGTGTGTCCAGACATTGTGAAAAAATTACTCGTAATTTGTGAATGTAAAATAAACGTTAAGTCACATTCTTTCATCAAGGGTCCCGCTTTTGTGAATTTGTGCAAATAGGGTCCTGTTATTGCAAAAAAACTTTTTGTGAAGGGTCTGTTTTTAAGTTAAAATAATTTGTGAAAGGTCCGCTTTTATGAAAAAATATTTTGTGAAGGGTCCATTAACGGACCCAAATTTCTTCTAAACAGATCCCTGATATGGGACTACTTTCCACTACATTTAATTTTTTTCTGCTTATATACTTAACTGTATTGTTAACATTTGAATCATTTCTGGTATAGTTTATTTTTATAAACGATATAAATCTGGTATAGTTTATTCCAACATTCCTTATTTAATCATGAAAACATTGATGATTAAATAAGGAATGTTGGAAATAAGATTGTCTGAAATGAAGACCAATCTTAAGAAAACAATTAAGGAGCACTACTCACTTCTCCACTGTCAGTGTCAATGAAGTCAAACTCCATAAGATCTTCCCCACACTGCTGTAGCAAATCAAGAAGGTCATCACCCTGAGAGAAAATAAATACACTGTTTAAAACCAGAAATTAATAAATTAAAAAAAAGTTTCTTAAAATAAGGCACTTTCATTATATTTCACAAGTTATATTTTAAAGACTGGACTATTTTTTACCTCTTTCCGTAACACGGAAAATTTCCATGCTAGTAAAAGCTTAAAAAAAAAACTTGATTATACTACATAGTATAATAAGAGAATCACATAAATATATAGGTTTATTATTTTTTTCTTACACACAGTACTATATATACTAACATACATATCAAGATACATACTATGAGTACAGGGGGAAATTGTTGATTGTGGTAATTTTTTACTTTCAGGAGTTGGTCTTGAGCAACAGAATTATGCCGAATGATTGTGTCCGCACATCTCTTTTTAATTTGTGCATGATTTTGAAATATTGATCATTACTGATTAGTTAGTTTTATTTCAAAAAGAAGCATTCAGCAAGTAACGATAATAATTAACTGAAAAAGTTGCCTAAGTACAAAATAATATTTATTTACCAAGAGACTTTACTTTAAAAAAAATTTTTTTTTTGTTTACTACGGCAGTGCTTCTGAAACAAACTAATGTGAACCAGTAACATAAAAATTGTATGCTGAAGCTGTTTAAGGGTATTTTTTAAATCTTCTTTAATTATTGTTTTATGATATTTATTTTAAATTAGCAACATTTATGTTTGCTAATATTAAAAGTATCTTACAGAAATATATTAGTACTAGAGAGTTTCGACGCAGATAGCTCAAAAAAATTGTGCCACAGGGTAGGTGGCTTCATGATGCATTGACGGCGTCAATGTCTATAAATGCAATGATGAGCATTATTTCCAAAAATACAAAGAGGGTTTCATGATGAGTGCTTCTCTCGACCATGAAATGAATGACCACATGCTTGCGCAAAGAGGTTTTTTTTTTTTTTTTAAATTATTGATAGTAATGAACTAAATTTAAAAGGGAGTGGGATCGAGAAGTTACGTGCATTTTAGCGCCAGATGTTTCTAAATTTTCAATCTTTCTCAATTCAGCAGCTAAGTTTTTACGTTTCTGTTTATGAAGATTTTTATGAATGATCTCAATGCGCATTTTAATTTTGATTTTTTAGATTCATAATTAATTATTTAATGACATAGGCAGTGGTGGACTAATTTGAGTCGCAAACACCCCTTCCTGCACAAGTTATTGAAATTTTTTTTAATGTATCATGTCACTAGTCTAATTTAATGATTTTTTTTTTCAATTAAAAAAAAAAAAAAAAAAAAAAAAAAAAAAAAGAAAACAATTTATAGTTGATAACTAGACGAATTTATAGCATTTTTTTTTAAAGTAACTGATGATTGAGTTTATTATAATATAATTGCCTCAATTATCAATCAAAAAGTGCAAGAATTCGAAATAACACATTACGAAATGCAAAAATATTAGAGTAAAGGAACATCCCTATGTATTGAAATATTGCGATGTTAGAGTGAAAATACATCGCAATGCCGAATATGTGCATACATTTACGTGTATATGTATGTGTACACATATGTGTTTCACACATATCTACAGATATGTGTATATATTTTTAGCATAAAACATTAATATTTGTTCTACATATAAATCGGGGGAAAAGATAGTAAAAAAAATTAGTACTTGCATAAAAAGTGTTCATGATCATACATAAAATTTCATACCACTTAAGTGCACACTTAAAAAATCAATGATTAATCTTGTGCAATATACAGGGTATCTGCTAAATTTTAGATTTTTAAATTCATGACTTTCCATGACTAATTCCTAGAATTTTTCATGACTTAACGAAGTTACTATTTTTTCCGACAAAAATGCAACAAGAAATTCAAAAACGCACTATAATAACATAAATTGAAATGATAGGTATAACCAGAACTGTTGTACTTTGCATCTTCATGCTTAAAGATTTCAAATTTATAAAAACAGAGTAAAGAAAGAGTTGAAACAATAAAATAGCTGAAAAAAATACAAAAGCAAATAATTTTTTTCTTGCAGAATTATATTGCAAAGATACTTTTTTTGTTCATCCGAAAGGAAAGAAATACTCCTGATTTTTTAGTTCTCATTTCAGAATAAAAAAAACTCGCCAATGACTGGCTTGCTTCAGCTAGAATTTTAAATTGATAAAATAAAAAAAATAAAAAAAACAAAAATTCTGAAATCACAGAAATTTAAAAGATAATTCGCTCTAGAAATGATGTTTTTTCTTTCATTTTTTGAAAGAACACCATAACTTTTAAAGAACATGATAAAAACACTTTATATTTTAATAAAATATGACTGTGAGTGGGGATTTTATTACAAATTCAGATATTCAGAACATCATGAAATGGGGTGGGGGTATTTTTAGATTCCATTTTAGAAATTANAAGTGCACACTTAAAAAATCAATGATTAATCTTGTGCAATATACAGGGTATCTGCTAAATTTTAGATTTTTAAATTCATGATTTCCATGACTAATTCCTAGAATTTTTCATGACTTAACGAAGTTACTATTTTTTCCGACAAAAATGCAACAAGAAATTCAAAAACGCACTATAATAACATAAATTGAAATGATAGGTAACCAGAACTGTTGTACTTTGCATCTTCATGTTTAAAGATTTCAAATTTATAAAAATTGAGTAAAGAAAGAGTTGAAACAATAAAATAGCTGAAAAAAATACAAAAGCAAAAAATTTTTTTCTTGCAGAATTATATTGTAAAGATACTTTTTTTGTTCATCCGAAAGGAAAGAAATACTCCTGATTTTTCAGTTCTCATTTCAGAATAAAAAAAACTCGCCAATGACTGGCTTGCTTCAGCTAGAATTTTAAATTGATAAAATAAAAAACACAAAAATTCTGAAATCACAGAAAGTTAAAAGATAATTCGCTCTAGAAATGATGTTTTTTCTTTCATTTTTTGAAAGAACACCATAACTTTTAAAGAACATGATAAAAACATTTTATATTTTAATAAAATATGACTGTGAGTGGGGATTTTATTACAAATTCAGATATTCAGAACATCATGAAATGGGGGGGGGAGGTATTTTTAGATTCCATTTTAGAAATTAGATTTGTCAGCGACCTAAATCCATGACTTTCTTAAAAAAAAAATAGTTAAAATCATGACATTTCATGACAAATTTTGTTCAATACCGAAATTCATGACTTTCCATGATTTTTCATGACTTTCCAGGAGCGCGGATACCCTGAATATAAGTTTTAATTACTTTGAGGTACTCGTAGATAATCTACACATGAATAATCAGGGCTCTACATTAATTATTTGAATATGTGCATAAAAATATTTTTTAAGGATTCTTCTTTTACATATTTTAATATTTAAAATCATAGATTTTTCATTGAGTATTGCCTTCAGGAGACTTAGGGGGCTGCTAACAAGATATAGGTGTTTAATGGATTTGCAGAGGGGTTGATTACAAATTATAGATGAAATCAACATTGAGTTCAAAATAAAATTCATAAACTTTTTGGTTCAGTATTTCTAATTCAAACTATAATATTAATATATATATATAAGTTATTTAAATTGTTTGCCTAAAAAAGGAGGGAAAAAGACATTTTAATACTGAAACAGTATAAATTTGAGACCATTATTTTGTTTTGAAGGAAAGGCTTTACCTCGCTATTACAGGCAAGTAAACGAACTGCATCATCCAGAGTGAAAGAATCTGCAGATCCTGTCCCTTCAGCTGAGTTCCATTAATGAGCGAGGCTTGCTCAAGGGATCTGTTGTCTTCTAACACACTGGAAGATAGCTCTTTCTCAATATTCTCTACTTTTACCTGCAAAATAATAAAGACATTTTAGATACAGAGATGCCAACTTGAAAATTATGATTTCAGTAATAGTCACACATAACTTATAACGATTTTCAGATTTAATGTTTATTGAACCTGAAGATAATGATTTTCAGATATAATGTAATAATGATTTTCAGATATAATGTAATAATGATTTTCAGATTTAATGTTTATTGAATCTAATTAAAGATTTAATTTTTATTTTAATGGTACTATAAATTAAAATTTAATAACAATTTATTCATTATATAACTATTTTAATGATTAATATTCCAAAACTGTTCTGTTAATAGATAAAATTTGAATTTAACGTTCACCTAAAAAGGTTCGTAGATACATAATACATACAAGTATAATAGAACACAAAATCAGGAGCTGAAACTTCAAAAAGAAAATTTATTTATGCATTTTATCTAAATCTAATTTAGTACTTTGCTTTGCAGCTCTTATTACAAGCACCAGAAAATTTCCTTTCAAAACATACTTTTTTATTAGTTAATGCTTTTGTTTTTTCTATAAGAGGCAATCTATAAGAAACCATGAGCAATCATAAAATAAATCTGTAGAACATACGGTACAGAACACCTGTACTTCCAACACTCAGGGATGAGATTGGCCAAAAGGCAAAAAAGCTGAATTTCCATGAGAGTAAATTTTACGCACATGTAATCGTTTAATAATAAATTCCAAACAATTTAAGATAATGAATAACAATGTGTTAACATAAAATTGTGTACTAATTTGGTATATAAACGATTACATTGGTACTTAACATTTAGTAAAAAGTAAAATCACGAATAGAAAAAATAAAGCTAGAATATTATATTTTTCTTCAGTTCACATAAGAGACAGTACATGGGAAACTGTCTNTTTATCTAAATCTAATTTAGTACTTTGCTTTGCAGCTCTTATTACAAGCACCAGAAAATTTCCTTTCAAAACATACTTTTTTATTAGTTAATGCTTTTGTTTTTTCTATAAGAGGCAATCTATAAGAAACCATGAGCAATCATAAAATAAATCTGTAGAACATACGGTACAGAACACCTGTACTTCCAACACTCAGGGATGAGATTGGCCAAAAGGCAAAAAAACTGAATTTCCATGAGAGTAAATTTTACGCACATGTAATCGTTTAATAATAAATTCCAGACAATTTAAGATAATAAATAACAATGTGTTAACATAAAATTGTGTACTAATTTGGTATATAAATGATTACACTGGTACTTAACATTTAGTAAAAAAGTAAAATCACGAATAGAAAAAATAAAGCTAGAATATTATATTTTTCTTCAGTTCACATAGGAGACAGTACTTGAGAAACTGCCTGGTTTAGCAAATTAAAACTAGTGAGAACATACATTAATATTCCATTTCTTTTAATAAGTACTGTTAGGTGATTTATAGCAAATAAATCAGTAACACGACTTTTTAAGTTATTTAGAAAAGAAAAGGAACTTTTACAATTTGAATCACTATGTTCATATTATAATCTAATCTAGATAGAGTCCTGTGAAACATGTCAATAACTGTGAAGTAGAAATATATGGTAACTCCTTTACACGATAATCAGCAACTGTTTAGATAACTATTTTTCATTCCATAAGAATTTCGCATTTTATAGCATAAATAACATCATTTTTAAAATTTTGGTGCTGAGTTCTCTTTTTCCAAAAAAAAAAAAATTTAATCATTTTTTAAGTGATTGCTTTTGTTTGCAATATTTTTTTTTATTTATTTTTGTTTAATTTCCGATTGCTGCAAATGCTTGCCTACATATTCAAATAATCGTCGATAGAAAAACAGTCACCTTTATAGCAACTAATTCAAGGGGAAAAAAATGTACTTCTTACAAGAATCATGATAGGTAATCTTAAAATCGCATGATACAAATTGTGATCTTGTCTGAACTATTACTACTACTAAAATTTATAATTTAGTGAAATAAAACGAGTAAGTTTTTATTATTGGTACAAATGAAGCATCTTAAAAGAGTTATAACACATCTATTTGAATCCAAATTTGAGTAGTTAATTTTTTCCAACCCATTATTTAAAAAAGCAGATGAAATAAGAAAAGAAATTCGTAACAATTAATTAAAATCACGGTTAATTTTTGCCACTTCTTATAACATGAAAGCGAAATAAAAATAATAAATAAGCATGAATCTTTTCTTAACTCAGATCCTCTTAAATTTTGAATCTGAAATGAAAATTCAAGAAATTGAACAATGATATCATATGAAAGCAAAATGACGGATTCGCAAGTCCCAAGAATTGCCAGCGAAAACAAGATTGGAAAGAAAAAAAAAAGTCAGTGAATTGTCAGGGGAAAACACAATTTCACCTCAAAATCGAGAATAGTCATTGTCAGAGAATTTGTCAAATTGCAGGATTTCATTCCTCCATATTCAATATCATAACTTGTCTTACATACATTAAAATTAATATTGATTCATGAATTAAAGAAAACAAGAAATGCATATTTCATAAAAACTTAAGAAGTAATATTATAATAATATAAATTGTATACATCTAAAAGATAATAGTAATGGGTGGATAATGGGTGTTGATACAAAACAAACACAGTGTGAAATTATAACTAAAATAAAACTTAAATGTTACGAGTTTATTTCCATGCTAAGTGGAATTATAAAGTAATATAAAGGCATATTTTAAGTATACAGTAGTTCTTTTTTATTATTATTATTATTTCAGCACATTTAAGGAACAAAGGTGAATATATTTGAATTGTTATTGAAAACATTAATTAATAGTTCAATGGAATAGTTAAACACTACGAAATATTTTGAAATAATTCAATTAAAGGTTTACTCAATACACAAAAGTAGACCATTATAAAAGCAATTTTAGGCTTTCTATGTAAACAATTGTTGAGGCACACTTAAATAATACTTTTGGTTATATCTCTTTAAAGAAAATTATTGAAATGAAGTTAATTTTAAATTATTTTAAAATTCATAATATGGTTTATCACAACCAAAAACTATTAATGACACTCAATTTAAATTTAAAAAAATCCAAGAAGAAATTAAAACATATGCTATAAATATTTTCATAAGTTAGAGATGTTCATAAGTTGTGCATTTATATACTTTTCTGTTATAATACAATCAATGGAAACTTTAAAAATAATTAACACTAGGTTGAGGGAGAGTTTTACACAAAAACTACTCAAAGATAAGTTAACTCGTGACCGGTCAACAGTGTGCTAATATAATTAAAAATATAGTTTTATTTCAAAATGATCATTGTATAGTCTTGAATAATTCCAAAGGCTCAATATCAGTTTTTAGAACCTCAAAATACAGTTTGCCATTTTATGGCTGCTAATTATGCTTATAAAGACAAATAGTTATTACATTGCCAAGACTAACTTTTTTTCATATATTTACAGAAATATTAATCACATTTAGCTAAAAAAAACAACAGCAATTACATTTTTATGAAGTATGATAAAAATTATTTCCCTCTTAAAAAATATCAACAAATACATCCTGAAATGTATGACATATAATTAAACAAAAATAAGCTAAGCAAAAATGCAACAAAAGGAATGACAAAAGAAACTAACGATTCACTTTTTACAAATTTTAATTCTTAAGCAGTTCTAATTTTAAGCTAATATTCTAATGTATTGTACAATAACCTTAGAGTTTAAGCATGCTTTTTAAAAATTCAAAAATATTAGAAAAAATAGAATTATTTAAACATAATTACAAAACCAATTTATCTAATCATTCAACACAAATTTCTATATTCTAAAGCCTCTATAAGATTTGAATCTGTGTCATTGGCAAAGCAGTTTATTAAATCTTTTAAAACTAAATTTGTACATGAAAATTAGGTGACCTCAAACAATTAGTGCAAATGATATTTAAAGTTACGAAATCAGACATAAAAACTTTGTATCTGACGTATACAAACTTTTTTGAATTAACATACCTTTTTTTCTCTTGACGGATTCGGATTTTTAACCCTAAAAATATAAGATGTAGCCGTAATCTGGGAAATATGGTCAACATAGTTTAATCAGGAGCGTTATCCAAAGATTGGACCCCTAAATATTATTTTTACTTTTTAGAACTAAGTGAGTAGAAATTTTTTTGCACACAATTATAAAATTCACTTATTTAAAAATAATTCCAAGCAAAATATAATTTTTATTAAATATTTATTGTTTTTTCTTAATTGACTTAATAGTCTTAAAAAATTTAATTTTAAGTTATAATTTTTTGTCACTTTAAAGTATATAATTTTACATGGTAAAATTTGAGTTAAATCGGTTGAATAGTTCCCGAGAAATCGAGTTTTAAATATACAGATTTTTTACGTTTGTTATGTTTATTCTTACAATTTATTTTTATGATATGTTTATTCAGAGAAAGTATATTTTTGTATACCTTTTCATAGCACAAAATATTGTCTGCACTAATTATTTAGCATATCTGAGGTCACCTCCCTTGAACCATTAAGATTGAGTCCTAGAACATGAAGATCTGATCATTAGATTAAAAGTTATTCAGGGTGCTCTGTTTTTTCTTTTTTTGGCGCTTTGAAAATTTAAAATTAAGTAAATTAATGATTGGTTTACAATTGTGTTATACAATGTTTTAATTATAATTTACAGTGTTTTGATTTGCAATTGTGTCATAAATAAATTGTAAATCAAAAATAATAATCATTCAATAGTACTATCTCTTGAAATTATAAGAATAACGGTATATTTACAAGCAAAGAAATTTTTAAAATGTATAATTTGAATTTGAAGAAATTTTTTTTTTTAACTATTATGAGACACACAAGCAAATAAACGTATGAATAAAATATACTTAAAATAAACACTTATTTGAAGAAAAACAGTCTTTTATTAAAGAGATTAATACCTTCTGTGTGGTGTTTACATCTACGCCTAAACGAAGCTTAAGTTCTGAGTTTTCTTGCTCCAAAGTTTGGATCCTTTTCATACTTTCTACAGTTTTCATTAATAAAATTTTTTTCTGAAAATAAAAAATCAGTTACTTTTATAAACAGATATTTAGATACAAATAGATAATTGCAAAATCAAACATTTCAGTGTGAAATTATTTAAGTATAATTATTAGAGTGTATATGCTACCACTGAATTTTTTTAAAATTTTAACTTCCATGAACCATTTTGAATAAATGGACACAGATCACAACAGAAACCACAGCTAAATTTCGCACCGCCTCGCCACATTTGATCCTCTATAGGTGTGGTGAAGAACGGTTTGGTTCAGAGTTGGCAAGATCTAGGACAAAATGGATTAATCCACAGTTTAAACCGTCCTGTCCAAATTAATAATTTGTCTTAAATTGCCCAAAACCTATTTACCCAAATTATGTCAATTAGAAATAAAATCTATATATAGTGAAAAATTATAATTTTAATTTTTGAACAAGAAACAAAATGAAGAAAAGTTTTGTCTTGTCTAATTAAAATAGGTTATTGTTATCTTTAATATTGCATTATTTACCCTTATGCCATAACATAATTTATCAGTATTAAAAGCGGATTTATTCATGTTTAAAGGTATTCACTTTTGTTGTTAAATGAATTGTGGAGCTTCAAAAATTATAAATCTTTTCTTTATATATTATTTTCCTTTAATAAGTTAAAGCAAATTGTAACAAGCAAATTCATCATTCACCAAATCAATAAACAAACCTTTAGTTGAACGCTTGTTGTTTTATGAAATTTGTTTGTTTTTTCATTTGCTGACTTGCAACTTTAATACATCACAAAAACATAAAGTAAATCTCAAAAGGAATAATTATACAACATTTCAAAAAATTTCATTTGTCAATAACCGTTTTAAGTAAAAAAAACTTTAATAGTTTAAAAATTTCTTAACAGTAAGTGTTTACTCCAATTGAATTAATATAAATTTTTGGTCATTTTAAGAACCCTTGACAATAGCAGAAAAATAAAATTAGTGAAAAATATACGTCACAGTGTTAATAAAAATAAATATTTATGGAAATGGTGCATTTGCGCACCTTTGGTCGAAAATTGGTAAAAAAATAGTCAAATCATTCCTTTCTATTTCAATCTTTTCACTGACAAGCTAGTTAAAAAAAGAGCACTAGACTTGTAGGATCTACACTATAAAAATACACTGTACTTTTTAATTACTACAAAAATTCAGCTAAAGCATCATGTATAAATTGTATACATCTAAAATATAATAGTAATGAGTGGATAAACACAGTGAGAAATTATAANATGTCAAAAACCAGTTTTTGACGGCAAAAACCCAACCATGATTAAGATATTATCATACACAGAGAAATGAAGGTTTCAATATATTAATGTATGATTTCAATAAAAATTCTTAACAAAACAGATATACAAACTAACTTCTGCTGCAAGACGTGAAACTTGTTCTTCAAGTTCTTGCATTCTAGCCTTTTTCCTATCTCTAGCTGTTTGTGCAGCAACTCTGTTTTTTAACTTCCTATAAAATTATCAAATTGCACACTTACTTAAAACTAATAAAATTTAAAAAAAACACATTTACATCAGTTACAAAATAAAGTTTGTAGCATTTCCAGGGCCGGATTAACCTATAGGCACACTAGGCACGTGCCTAGGGCCTACGAAAAACTTGGGAGGAAAACATTTTAAAAGAAAATCAAACATAGTGGAATCAGAAAAACAGTTTTGTTTTTCTGATTCCACTACGTTTGATTTTTTTTTCTTTTTACGATAAATTTCGCACTCAATAAATTCTTTTTTTTTTCATAAATTTTATCATTAGGTTTTTTTTTTTAAATTCCGTTGATCTTGCCTTGTTCCGGGTTTTAATATTTATGCTAGTCCCTTTTTTAACTATCGTATTTTCAAGTGTTTTTATTTAGATTAATAAGTTTTCCTTTTATTTTATTGTTTCTCCCCGTATAATTAGGTATGAAATATATTGCGTTATTTAATCATTGGTTTTGTTTATATTATTTAATTTAGGAATTGTAATTATTTTTAAAAAATAAATATGAGAATTTTGTATTTTTTAAACTTGTTTTTCTTGGCTAAACTTGTAAATATTTTTATTCTTTTAAATGTTATATTTCTACCATTTTTTTTTTCTCTTTAAAGTTAGGAGTACTTTTCTTTTTTCTCTTACTTTATGCATTACACTTGTCGGCATTGCAGATAAAGTTCGATAAACAAATTCGTAAATTAAAATCCATATCAATAAAAATGTTTTTAAAAAAATATGCAAGAAAATTTTAGCATATATTTTGAAAAGAGGGGAGGAGTGGGGGAGGGAGGGGAGGGGCCAAAAACGGCTATGCCTAGGGCCTACGAAAGGTATAATCCGGCTCTGAGCATTTCTAATCATTGATATAAGAAACAAAACTTTCTGTATTAGTGCATGCTCAACCAGTAGGTATACTGAAAATAACTTTAATCTCTTTGAGCTTTCTTAAACATCCAAAAAAAGAGCATTTTTTGAAAAGTGGAGCCGTTAAAATTCACTTAGTTTGTAAAGAATATGACAATCAGTTAAGCATGCTTCATGTTCTTTGGTTTTTAAAGAGCACCCAAACTATTGATTTTTGTTTTATAATAAGTATACTTTTATGGGTCAATAAATAAATTAAGTAAAAAAAGATCTTGAATAGTTCTATAACACATTTTCATACCTGCCAACTTTTAATCATTTCGAGGATTATATTCCCCAGTGGAAGAAAAATGTAATTTAAATTACAATTTCAGGCAGAAACATACGCTGTATTTTGAAAAAACTTATACGGACTACAGACTGTATTACATATTAATATATATGCTTACTATTTTTTAAAAATAGTGGTGGTCAAAAAGACAATAAATTAAATTTATAAATACAAGGAATATATAGGAATTAGGGTGACCAGGGGTAATTCACGATCACTCTGTTTCTGTAATAAAATCACCTAAGTAAGGTAAATAATGATAGGTAAATAATGATCACCTAAGTTTTATTTAAAAAATTATTTTCTTAAAAATTTGAAACATGGACAAGAATGCTTGTACACTTTACTAAAGTATAACTACATTTACTTAATAATAGTTTTTTGTTTAATCTAACAAAAAAAGTACAGTAGAGAACTGATTATCCGGAAAGATCGGGACCATCGCGATTCCAGATAACTGATTTTTCCGGTTTTCTGAATCGCTACAAAATGCCGTTTTTTTTAATGTTTATAAAACGAAATTAAAAAATTATTTTGAAATAGTTTTAGAAATAATAAAGAATGATAAATAATAATACACTTAAGTTTAAATAAGGAAAGAAATTATGAAATAAAAATTATATACAGGCTTTTATATATTATTAACATTAATAACATATATAAGCTATTTGTGCTTATGTGAGATTCGTCTACAAACGGCTTTTGATCCGTCCTCTAAATCAGTTCTTTCGTCAACTCGATACGTCGTACGCTCTAAATAACAAAATGGGCTCAAAATCTTGCATGGGAAAAAAAAAATTTTTTTTTAATGGAAGAAAATTAATTTCCGGTTCCGAATTTCATTCCGGTTATCTGGTTTTCCGATTTCCGGATAAGAGGTTCTGCACTGTATCTTTTAAACTGCTTTCTATATTTTCCATTTCAAAGACAGGTTTCAAAATGTGCACATTTCTGCAAAGATCCCCTTCCTTCTCTTAATAATAAATAATTTGAGTTACTGTATTTTTTTTTGATATGAAAATAGTGTAACCTTTGGTTTAATTGTTTCGCATCTACTGTAAACATTAAATTGATTATAGGAAACTATATCAAATGTTGCCCCCTACAGATAGGGTAATTATTTATCACTGGGGTAATTCCTGATCATTGTCATTTCTTTTTATAAATAGTATTAAAAATAGCTGTCTTCTCTTAAATAACAGTTCATACTGATTAAGTGGAACAACTTTATTTGAAGAAAAACAGTCTNGTTGCTCCCTACAGATGGGGTAATTATTGATCACTGGGGTAATTCCTGATCATTGTCATTTCTTTTCATAAATAGTATTAAAAATAGCTAATTGTCTTCTCTTAAATAACAGTTCATACTTATTAAGTGGAACAACGATAAAATATATTTTAAATGTAATCACAAAATTTGATTTTAACTGTATACAAGACAAATGTGTTCTGATTTGCACCATTTCTGGTTTATCTTACCTTGCTTCTATCTTAATTTTATGTGTGTACATTGTTAGAATAATTTTTAAGTTTATAATTTAGCCTAATATAAATATGGTGAGAAATTATAAGCCTAAAAAGGATACTAAAATTTTAGAAAGCAAAATTAGTGAATTTCTTTTACTGATTGAAAATGAAAATTTCAGTGTGAGAGCTGCTGCAGAGCTGTTGACATACCTTACTTAACTATACACTCTCACTTAATGAAGTTACAAAACCCAGCAAAAGTAACCCATGTGGGAACTCTTTCTTATATTTCAGCAGAACATGAGAAAGAGTTGGTTGCTTGCCTAAAATGTTTGGCACGATGCAAAGATTTTTGGAAAATATACTTTATTCTTGTTTTTAATAAATTGTTTTATTAGCTACTTAAACATATATTTTGGGTTTATTTATTTGATCTTGATGTCTCATTTGTTAATTACCACTGTATAATTATTTTGAAACAGCTCCTTTACTATAAAAATTGGTGATCAGGAATTACCCCAGAAATGACCAAGAGAAGAGGTAATTCCTGATCACTAAAATTTTAAAATCTTTTAAATTCTAATTAGATTTTCAAACAAAAGGTAGCAGAGGACTCATCTCATATAGCCTCAAACTTCCAGTAAATATTAAAATTCTATCTCGAATAGTTTTTTTACAAAATAGATGTTTGCATTTTTTGATCAGGAATTACCCCAGGTCACCCTACACACTTTACGACCACTTTAAATATTGAAATAAAATTTTACGGCAAATGCGTAAAAGTTAGCAGGTATGCAATTTCACTAGCAATACTAAGTTAAAATGGCACTATTTTAATTAGATAAGATTCAATCTAAATATATCAGTAAATTCATAAATACATGAGTAACATCATATTTTTTGACACTCACAATCTTTATTTATCCCAGTAAAATTAGAAAAAATAAGATTTTTAAAATTAAATCAATTTGTGAAATTAATTCATTTCAGCCTGCTTTTAAGTAGTTAAAGATATGTCTCTATCATTAAGATATATATTTAAAGATATGTCTTTATTCTTTTCACATCTTAAAGATATATCTTTGATTTTAAACTGGAATTTCTATTCCAGTTTAAGAAAATTTAAATCATACATTTTAACCTATATATTACAATAAAACTTTTTTTTATCTAGAATAAAAGTTTCAAATGTATTATCATTTATTTTCATTATATTTAAATCAAAAATATTAAAATTTTAATTACAGTTAAATTTAACTACAGATATATTTTTTAAGGAACTACTTAAAATGAAATATTTTAGTCACCTTGTAATTTTGCATCAGTTGTATTTTTCTTAGCTAAATCTTTAATAACTTCCCAACTTAATAATGCGCTTAAACTCATCCTTGATCTTTCATAAGTTATAATTCTTTTATTAAAAAAAAAAGATAAAAACTCATTCCACAGAAACTTGAGCATGAGAAGATGTGTAGACCAACCCTGTGGAAGAATAGCAGCGACACAGCAACATTGTCGCTGAACGTTAAGAGTTTTTGCAAATGATTTTTTGTCAGAAAAGCTTTACTTTTCTACAGAATTTTACACGTAATACTTGAATCATGCATTTAAATAATCACTTTATGACGCACTTAATTTAAGCTGATAGTATCATAAAACGATATGTTTTGATTTTCGGCAGTTATTGATAATTATTTTCACATGGTTTTTAACTATTTCTATATATCTTATTCACTATGGATTTTACGGTTATAAATTATTTTTTTATTGTGATGATCATCTACAAAATGCGAAGGATAATTTGTGCATTGAAAAACTTCGCAGCTCAAACAAACCTCTTCTCATCTTCAAAAACTAATAAAACTTTTCATGATGAAAATTAAATGCAAACTTAAACAAAAAAAACAATTGTGTATTAGGTATTTATTTAAAATAGCTCTATTGTTCATGATTGGTTACACGTAATTATATCAGTTGGTATCCTTTTTATAAATGCCAAATTTTATTCATTGATCACCAGGAAAATTGCACAGACTAAAATTTAAATTGTGTGCAAAAAATCTTGTTCCTTCAATAACAATTTAGGGGAGATTTTCGTATCGTGATCTGTGGCAGAATAATCTCCAAGTCTTGGAAACTTCCAGGCAGTGGCCCGCGAGACACTAAAAAAAAAAAAAACACCACAGAAAGAGACCGTAGCCACCCCCTCCCCGTCACAGAAGTTTCACTGCATTTGTGTGCTGTCACAGAAGTTTCATTGCATTTGTGTGCTTTACACATAACTATTTGTTCGTGATATGAACAATTATAAAAAAAAAAAGCAATTATATTAAATTCACTTTTAGCCTTATTTTATGGTTTCAGAAGCTGGTTTCATGAAGTCTCAATTTGGCAAATATTAAATTTGATGAAATTTTCAGTTATAAGTACTACCTGCCCTCTTTGCATTAATAGTGAAATTTGATTAAATTTGCTACAATGAAGTCAGTCAATCTCTTAAAAGTATAATAAAAACAACTAATTAATGATAAAACAATAAGCAATAACATCGTCTTCCATTTATAAGGTCGTTGGGATTGATTTTACTAAGTGGTAGTTGTGATTTAAGTAGGAAGAATTTGCCATGGTGAATAAAACAATTTGTTTTAAAAACAAAGTTTAACACATTACATTAAAGTTTAACACAGTGCTAAAACAATGTATTAAATACGCCGATAGCCCAATTTTCATGTACTACTTTATAAACATATGGTTTGTTAAGGTGATAAAAACATACATGTTATTCTTGATTGAAATAATACCTGCGCATTATTTTTTCTTCTTGAGACAAATGATCCAGTCTTTGTCTTTTTCTAGGGCGGTTTTGTACAGAATCTGATACATCACTTTCTTGATCACTGGTAAGAGATTTCTCATCTTCAATTAGGAGTGTGAAATACGATGGTGGGTATTTGGTGTCACTACCGCAATTCAGATTTAAATCTATTTTCGGCAAAATATTGCTCGGAGAAGTTGATAACTTCTTTAACTGTGGCATTTCGTTGTTTATTAAACGAAATATTTATAAATAATACCAAGTCCTACAGATAATGGACAAAAACCACCCCAAATTCAGAGAGGCGAAACTTTCGTTGGGCAATGAAAGAATGAAAACAAAAAATTAACAGGAAAAACAAACGCGTGTCGAGTTCTCATTGGTCATAGAAATTTCTAGTTCTGGTTTCATCACCCCTCTGAAGACGTGCCAGCGTGGAATATTTTACATCATTTTTTTTTACAAGGGAATACTTTCAATTTCACTTGTAACGAGGAAACTTTAACGAGGGTTTTTAATTGAGGAAATGAAAAGCATTTAGTAAAAGCAAAGCGCCTTTGAGTAAAAATGGGGCTACTAAATTAGGGATTGCATAAAATAATAAAATTTCGAAAAATAAAATGATAGATAATAAAATTTCCATAGTTTCTATTACGGAATGGCAACAAGAACGTTATAACATCCGGGTGATTAGATTTTGACATTTTGATTGGCTGTTGACTGTCACTTTTGGTTGCAAAAATTGAAAGAGTTATCGCGTTTATTAGGAATTTTTTGCAATAAAAATTCTATTAATCTGGCTTTTGGAAGATTTGTGCTTAAGAAAATTGTCTTATGTTTTTTAATTTTTAGATATTTACCAATATATCAATAAAATTTTTTTGTTTTCTTTACTGAGTTTATTATTTCATTTTAACTGAAATTGATTTATTAATTTTGAAATTGGTTTGACAATCAGAGTATGTTCATGGGTGCTCTTAATTATTTTTTAAATTATGAATATTTATATATTTTCCCTTATAAAACCGTAGCTGCAATATTTATATGTTTTTCCTTACGTTCTAATGTTAAAAAAAAAGTTTAATCAAAAAGAAACTTGGATTTTAATTAAATTAATAGTTATCCCGAATGTGTTCACCTATGCAGATTTCCTGAACTTTAAACTTAATTATTAAAAATTATAACATAGAAGATAATTCTACAATGAAGTTTCAATTGTTTAGATATTATGTTTATTAGACAGTGAATCTATTTCTACATATAAAATTTTATATTTATATAAGGGAATTTTTTTATAAATATTTTCTAAATTTCAGAATTTTAATTTTGATTTCTTTTTCAAAATACTAGTGAAAATGGTTTTTTATTTTATTTTAAACAATTTTTGTCTTCTCTTAGATGACCTCTTGTCCGGCAACCCACAAATGCATGCCTATACCTGCCCCTTGTGAATCATACATAGAAACAAAAGCCTAACCCCAGTAATTTAATATTACTTTTCATTTTTAAAATTGATTTTAAATTGTTTATTTAGAAGAACTCTGATTGAACTCTAATGCTCTATTAAAAGAAATTTTAATTACAGCATGAGAGGTGAAAGTTTTCAATTTTGATTTGATATGTTTTTTAAATGAATAATTCATATTTGAAGAGAAGTGTGTTTACTATAAGGCTCAAACTGGGATCAATCTTCTATAGATCAAATTACATTTATAGTTTAATGACACTATTGCCAGAATTGGCTATACTGTTCCCAACGTAAATGATATCAAGAGCCTATAACCTTAATATCATTTACGTAATTATATCACTTGCGTACTATCATTTACCTACTTCTGATATGTAAGGGACTACTAATAGATATGATTTGTATTATCTGGATATTTAAGAGATAGATATCTTAGTTCTCCAAAAACTTGATTTTACTAAAATTTATTGATTTAATTTAAAGAGTAAATTTATGCTTTCCATCCCATAATTTTATGAATTAAATTATTTCAAACATTACAGAATGCGAAGTATAAATAATCTAATATTAGATTATTTACTTTTCTAAAACAAATCAGGGTGCGTAGCCAAATCTTTGAATCAAAAATAAGCACTTTTCAAAAACTTTTCAAGCACTTTGCAAAAATTTTCAAGCACACAAAAAATTCATATTCAATCAATGATATTATTGAAGAACAAAAACTTTTTATAAACAGTTTTAGCGCTAAAAAAAACCCAAAAAGAAATGGGCGAAAATCAAAACAATCAGTACTTTCCCACATCACCGAGTGAAATCAACTTGACCATGAACTCAGAACAAAAGTACTTACAAAAGTTACTTACCCCCTACGTCAAAAAAAAGTGTTAGAAGTGAAATAAAATAGACAAGAATAAAATTAAAATGAATGAAAAAGAAAAACATTTCATAAGGACCTGATATTCTCTATCCGAATTGGAGCACTTGGGTTTCGGTTTCAAGCGTGCGCGCATGCTCAAGTCATAACGTGGGTACGACATGAAGTCCGCGTGAATGATTACGTAGCAAACTCTCCATTTTTTGTGAAATGCATGGGATCCACCAGATATCACTGAAGGGAAAAAAAATTATTCGGAAAAAAAGCACTTTTTAAAAACGCAAGCTGAGAAAAGCACCTTTAAAAGCTTTTAAAAACGAAATCCCCCCAAAAGCACCTTTATGTACTTTTTACAAACGCTACGCACCCTGACAAATTTATGAAATTTAAATTTCTTGATAGCAATTTTTATCTAAAAATTTAAATGTTTACAAATAATTCATAATTTAAAAAGAAAAATATACTGGGGAGATTTGGAGGGGTAAAATAAAAAGTGGTAATGATTAAAGTTCTTCATATTCAAAGAAAGATTTTTAATATTAAGCAGATTTCCTTCAGAACCTGCATCAAACAAGTTTTCATTTGCAAAAAAATATTTTATCATAAAATCAGACAAAATTATGTAAACAATATAAGGCTAGAGTTATTTATGATCTATAAATTTAATTATTGTGTTTAATTATCTAGAAATGAAATAATTTGTTTTTAAAAAATAATTTAATATAAAGCATCAGTAATAGATTTTAAAATCTGCATCTATTGTATAAGCGTTTGGCTTTGTCTGTTTGGTAACAGAAAATTTGTTTACGGGTAAATCTGTAACATCATATTATAGAATTTGCTGCAACTTCGGCACAATAAAACACACTTTTGTTGATTAATAATATGCTTGTAACCTAACATAATAATATTAATTGAAGTATAAGCTGAATTATATTTTTTAAAAACAGGCAAATGGAAGTTCATAAAAAAAAGTTAAACAAAAATAGTTGAATTTCTTTGCCTTCTGCTAATCATAAGTACCAAAATTTGTAAAAAATAAAAATTGCTTTTATAATCAAAATGGTTTAAAAAAATAAATATACTATTAATTAATAAAATTAACTAAAAAGTTCTGTAGTATGAATTCAAATAAACAAGGGTCTCTCAATTTATTAAAAAAAAAAAAGGTTTTAATAAACTTTTTGTTTGTTTTTCATCAAATTCCACAACTGAACACTGATTCCAAATTCAATTAGATGAACCATGAAAGTCATAACGTGTATTAAAGAGCACTACAATAATCAATAAAAAAAATATTTTTCTTTCAATTTAGACATTTCATGCATTGTAATAGTGTGAAGACATTTCGATTAAAAATACTTATTTTTAACACTTACCTGCTTCATAAATCATGGAAAAAACATAAAATACTTACCTTTGGGAGAGGAGGAGCATAATAAATTCGCCAAACTATTATTGATGTTATCTATACTCTTTTAATAATGAAACTTGTTACTACTGGTTTTGTGATAAAGGCTACACAAGACACTTGTGTAAGAACCTGATACAGTTGCTGTATCAATAATTCCCATTTTATGAGTAAAAACATATACGACATAAACATGCCTGGTTAGTATGGCACTGGGCCCATGTCCAATAGGTTGTGGGTTTGATTCCTGCCGGTCAAAGACTTTCCGTGTAGTAAATAATGACTGGTGCACATTAAACCAGTCGAGTTACAAAGTCCTCCATGTTCCCATAAAAAAAATCAAAACCTCTGGGGGTACTGATCCAGGAGTTTCCTTGTCTTCTGGATTAGTTTAAAATTGCAAGGCTACGGAGTACAAGAATACTTTAGTAGTCGCAAACCCAAAAATTGGGTTGGCTGTTCAACGACGGTTATAAAATAAAACATAAACATATGCTTTGAAAAAAATTGACCCAAAANTTATAATCACAATGGTTTAAAAAAATTTAATATAATATCAATTATTAAAATTAACTAAAAAGTTCCGTAGTATGAATTCAAAGAAACAATGATCTCTCAATGTATTAAAAAAAAAAAAGGTTTTAATAAACTTTTTGTTTGTTTTTCATCAAAGTCCACAACTGAACACTGATTCCAAATTCAATTAGATGAACCATGAAAATCATAACGTGTATTAAAGAGCACTACAATAATCAATAAAACAAAATATTTTTCTTTCAATTTAGACATTTCATGTATTGTAATAGTGTGAAGACATTTCGATTAAAAATACTTATTTTTAACACTTACCTGCTTCATAAATCATGGAAAAAACATAAAATACTTACCTTTGGGAGAGGAGGAGCATAATAAATTCGCCAAACTATTATTGATGTCATCTATGCTTTTTTAATAATGGAACTTGGTACTACTGGTTTTGTGTTATTAGGCCTGTGATAAAGGCTACACAAGACACTTGTGTAAGAGCCTGATACAGTTGCTGTATTAATAATTCCTATTTTATGAGTAAAAACATATACGACATAAACATGCCTGGTTGGTATGGCACTGGGCCCATGTCCAATAGGTTGTGGGATTGATTCCTGCCGGTCGAAGACTCTCAGTGTAGTAAATAATGACTGGTGCACATTAAACCAGTCGAGTTACTAAGTCCTCCATGTTCCCATAAAAAAATCTAAACCTCTGGGGGTACTGATCCAGGAGTTTCCTTGTCTTCTGGATTGGTTCAAAATTGCAAGGCTACGGAGTACAAGAATATTCCAGTAGTCGCAAACCCAAAAATTGGGTCGGCTGTTCAACGACGGTTATAAAATAAAACATAAACATATGCTTTGATAAAAATTGACCCAAAAATTATTTTATATTAAATGTTGCCTTTTCAGTTACAAATGCATTTTTTGTACTTTAAAAGTTTTTATCAGAATCTTAAATACTATATTAATTGTACTATATGATTAATTATATAATTACAAAACATGTCAAAATCTTATAAACAAAGCAAGACTAGTGAGTTATCTATGACCCAAATTATTTATTGTGTTTTAATTTAAAATATATTAACTTTGTATTTCTAAATAGCCATAGACAAAATCAATAAAAAAAGAAGTAAATTTAAATTAAACTAGTAAGTATTTTACATTTTGGGAACCACTAGTACTACAGTTATTTAAACAAGTGAAATATTGTAGTTCCTACACTCTTATTATAGATTATTTCTATTGGGATTTTAAAAAAAAAAAATAGAATTCACTGCAACTGAGTAGTGCATACTGGCCATGATAAAGACAAAACAAAGTCTTACTTAAAGTTTATATTTGCTTCTTGTATATATTAAATATTTAATGTAACAACTGTTGAACCAGCCATCACTAAAATGTTAATAAACATTCATGTTCTAACTAGACTTGGCTCATTGGTTAACCAAATATTCATTTTTAAGCCTAAAACCAAATTACATGGTTAGCAAATACTGAGCAAAGTTAAATAATTAGATATTGAACTGTTTTAAATAATAAGATATGGGTTTAATAATGATATGAAATTTACATGTTTTGGGGGGAAAAAAATTGTAGCAGATGATCAAAATAGTGGGTATTGATATCAGTCATCAAAACATTGACAAAATGAAAAAAGAAAGAAGTAATATCACTTTTAAAATTAAAACTTTGCACAATACAGCAACAATATTAGATGACCTTGAAAAATATAAACACTTTTAGGTAACTTATATAAATTTTAAATGAAATGAGGGAAAAAGTTGATCTAACGCAACTGAAATTCATCATCACAATTATATGCAATGAGAAATTAAAAGTGAAAAGTATAAAAATTTTAATTGAATTTAGTAACAATTTAAATGAAATATCAAACATTTAAAAACATCATTTTTTTATAATTTTTTTTTGTTATTTAAAAATAAAATCAGTCATTTATGGCTGTTTTATAGCCCTAAAGTATGTAAAGAAATATATGCAACAAGAAGTTTCTCCGTAAATCCCGGACACTAACTCAATTTACTTATGCTACACTTATCCATGTCCAGAGTTCGTGATTTTTAAAAAAAAAAAAAATCAGATTTTTCTGATTTAAATCTGATTGTTTTGATTTAAATAAGATTTATTTGATTTTTATTCAAATACACTTTTTATTCAAATACAAAAAGAGCTTTAATTTATGATTAAAATAACTTTATAAATGTTTAATCAAAATTAAATTAATATTAAAACTATATTATAACAATATTTTAGAAGCTCTAACTTACTAAAATAATTTTTCATTATAATATATAGCTTTGAATGCACAGCAACCATTTTGAAACAAAAGCATGATTGAAATTTAAAGACTAGATGAAATAGAGAATTTAAAGAATACTTCAGGGGTCTGTCTAAGTTTTTCTGAAAGGTACCTATTTTGTAAAAATTTAGACATAATTTGTGAAAATAAAAAATTACATTTAAAAATCAACACAAATATGGTAAAAATATGGATTTATCGCTTCTTACAAAACACAAAAATAAAATTTTAAGAAATTATTCTACCGTTTTTCCTAAAGTTGAATTTGTGAAGGTACAGCTAAACAGTACCAAATTCGGCTTGGACAGACCTCTGTATTTTAACTATCAAAACAAAGTTTAAAATTAACAAACCACAATTTTAATTTAAAATTGCTATTTTGCTTTCTTTTCTCTCATGGTTTTGAAAATGACAAAATAAATGTTACAGATTGTGTTTATAATATAAATGTAGTCATTCATCAAAAAATAAATAAAAATTTAATCTATATATTTTTATATTAAAATATTCATTTTTAATTCTATATCAAAATAGACAAGTTAAGCTAAAAAAAATTTAAAAAAATCTATGTACTCATTGGAGTTTTTCACAAAATCCTTTTACAGAAAAAAATATTAGTTAATAACCCTACTGCTTCAAATAGACTTTGAAAGAGTTTGACACTATACCATGAAAAAAATATCTGAATTCATCAGCCTTTTTTTTTTCTTTCCTATTTTTGGCATATTATGGTAATTTCTTTTTATAATAACCTCAAGCTTCAGAAATATACATGTTCAACTAATAAAATATAATGTAGATTTTAATTCCACGCTTTTTCACTTAAAAGGTAGAATTTTAATTAACATTATTTGCATTATTTTTCGAAAAAATTCACGTTTATTAATTAATTTCTACAGCTATGCAAGTCTATATTAAGACTGAGTTAAATTTTTACTTTAATCTGTAATTTCAAATGTCTTGGAACTTCACACACATCAAGAAAGAAAGTAATCTTGTTAACTAAAATTAAGTAATGCAGCAGTTTATTTAAAATAAATTTTAAAACTTGGAAAAGAAAATAATAAATATATCAATAATTTAAAACACTGTTTTTTTTAAACTTTTAAAATCAATATATATATTATAAAAAATTAGTTGATTTAAATCAATGATTTTTTTAAAAAAATCATTTGATTTAAATCAACAAACCCTGTCAAAAGTCTAAAGAATTATAAAATATATTTATAAATTAAATATTTTTTAGACTGAACCATAAAATTGTATAGGTTAAAGGTTTTGATATTAGCTTCAATTTATATAGTAGTGCTCAAATTATTATTGTTACATATTCAATATCAAAGCGAGATCTTAATTTAAATTCAAAACAAAAAAATAAAAGTCATAATTGTATAAGCAAATTCAATAGTCATCAATTCACAGACATACATACAATCATAAACGTACTGATTCAACTAAATTTAAATATAAAAAAATCTGAGAAGTTGTAAACTCATATTTTATTAATAATTTACAAAAATGACATTTCAGGTAAGTTGCAAATAATAGTTTATAAAAGCTATATTAATATAAGTTTTTCATAAACAAGTAAAACTTTATCAGTTCAACGTAATATACAAGTAAATAAAAGACATTTTTGAAAAGATATAGAATTAGTCTCTACATCAGATAACTGTTCAATGTTTATAGTAAATAATAAAATTTTAAAATCGATGCAAACTTGCTATGTTACAGTTCTTGAATCACATTTGACATGGGCAAATTTGACTACGCAAATCCCAATTATGAAGTTCAGTAGTTGGCAACACACTCTGAAATTTAACCTTCTAATATGCAAGAGTAATAATTCACAGTAGAATTTGATTTTTTAAATGAGAAATAAAGTTGTTTCACCTTCACACAAATGAAATAAAACGACAGCGCGATAGCGGGTCCGGAGTTTGTTTACAATGAAAAATAATTGTGGTCACCAGTTAATTATTGTATTGAAATCTAAATTGAAAATAAAAATAATTAATATTCCTTATTTACAGCAAGAAATCATTTAAAAATTCACACATTTTTAACCTGTAAATCGGGTAAATGCAATCTGTCTTAAAACTTAAATCTCTGAGATATCCAAAAACTGGATCTGCGTTGGATATTAAGTAGAATTTGAAACATCTTTCTGACATTCTATTAAACATATATGTCTAAAACGTATCAATAGTAAAATTCCTAGAGACATACTAAATATGCATAGCTGTAACTTAAATATGTTTGGATATTTCTTATTAGAGAAATTTTAAGAACAGATACCAACCGTTAGAATTATCCGTTAATTTCATCAATGTTTATTATGCTCAACCGTCAACTCGTTGACTGTCAACAATAACGCGCCTAGTTTAAATTATTGTTTTTTGTACTTTTTTGGATTTTTATAAACTTTATTTAAGTACAACTGATTATTCTATATTATTTTAAACAATTTTCTTTTCTTCAGTATATGTTTTAACAAGTAAAAATTTATGATTTATGCGGAACAAAACTTTTTAAGATATTCACTATGGATGCAGGCAATGTTGTTAATGCTTTTGTATTAAGTGGAAATCAATATGCCCTTCATCAAAATGAAGATAATAGGAAGCAATTTCAGAGACACTTAGAAATTTTAGTATGCTTGACAGCTGAAGAAGCGAATTTGTCGATTTTTGAAAATCACACTCTTTCTTCCTCTCAGTGCATAACTCATGTTGTGAACGTTCTCTTAGATAATGATTATAAGCAACCTCTTTTAACTCGAGCCTTAAATGTTCTTCTTAACATGACTCAAAATAATAAGTTATTAAAAAATTTACAACTTACGTACCATGTTCACTCTGCTATATCTACATTTTTGCAACAATATGGAGTTTCCATAAAAGATAATTTAGCCATACAATGTCTGCAGCTTTTGGAGTCTGTTACGTATGGCGTTAAGATTGATTATTTAGAAAATCATTTTCAAAGCTTGATAAGTATTCTTTTCAAATTTGTTTTATCAGAAACATCTCAAGTCCTTAAAATTTCTCTTCACATTTTGGCCAACATATGTCGACACAATCCTAAAGTCCAAGTTCATGTCTGTGGATTGACAAATTTTAAAGAAATTTTCAAGAAACTTGTAACTATGATTAATGGTGAAGTTCCTATTATCATGTTATATGCCTTGTCTATTTTATATAGTATTACACCTTACAACATCCTAGGAACTAAGCTGTGGACAGATGAAAACCTCATGTTGACCTTTGATCTCATAATGAAATTACTTACTTGCAATGATTATGGTTCTGCATCAACAGCTGTAGATTTATTTATTGATTTGATTCAAGTCCCTAAACATCTACAATGCCTTACTAAATCCCCACATTTAAATCGCTGCTTGCGAAAAATTACTAAATCACTGGATAAGATATCACCTAAGCAGTGTGAATTACTTCTTAAGTTTCTAAACTCATTATCTGGTACGGCAGGTATTAAAGACAAGCTGTTGAGCAGTTTATGTGTGCCTTGTGAATCTCAGCGGGAACAGTCATTAAAAATTCATCCCAAACTAACATTGTGGTCCATGAAAGGAAAAGAAGTCCCAGCTGCAATCACAATCGCATCTTTGCAACTAATAAGAAGTATTGTAATATTTTTAGTTGAAAAAAGCATTATTGGAATTGAATATGATTTAAAGGACATAATAGTGGACATATTAGAGAACATTTGCAACTCGTGTGAAAATCTAAACGATGAGTGTTTAGCTATAAACCAAGTAAGTTTCGATCTTCTGTCATTCGTATGCGAGAAAACTGACCTGAGAGTCTGCGTAGCTGAAAAACTAAATCTCGAAGCTTTAGAGCATTTTATAAAATGTCTTCTAAGAGATAGTTTGCTGGAGGAAAATCAGCATCACAAACAAGTAATTAACCTTTTCTTCTCGATCACCGAAACCTTGTCTTCATTAATCGATATCTTACCTGATTGCGAGGTTTTTCTGAGTAAGTTATTGCAAGATAATGCTGTCACCAACTGTGTTGCTTTTGCTATTACTTCCAATAATAAACATCAGATTATCAGAAGTTTATCCCTTCTCTCTCCTAAAAACAATAAGAATTCGTTAAATATTTTGTGCGAGAGCCTTTTATCTAGGAGTGCAGATTCGCAAAAAGTTTCTTCTCACAAATCGGATTCTACTGTGTTTTTCCCGTCAGATACTAACCAATCGAGTTTTAAGAAGAGCAAATATAGTGACAGTGCCTTTGATGTTTTAATGAACAAAATTGAGAACGGCCTTCAAATTAAAGATTTGAAATCTTCAGAAATAATGGATCTGTATGAACATAAAATTGCCATGCTTACCCTTAAAGAACAGGAATTTCAGAATTACATAGCTGCTAAAACACAAGCTTTACAGGAAGCAGACAGGATCATAACGCAGTATAAGTGTCGCCAGGCCGATGCAGAAGCAGAGGCGCTTCGACTGAGGGGTATGATGAAAGATTATGAATGTCGCTGCGAAACGTCCGCAGCGAAATTCACTCAAGAAGAACAGAAAAGGAAGAGATTAGAAGTCAATTTCGATCTCGCTTGTCGAAAAATTCAAGAAATGGAACAATCTGTAATTGAACAGAGGGAAATGACAATGTCTCAGATGACTAGGTTGACGGAACAAAAGAAAAATGTCGAAGAAGAAAAGTTGAGACTCTTTGAGCAAATTGCTTCCAAAGACCACGAGAAGAAATTGCTGACGACTCAGCTGCAGCAAACGGAGGAAGATCTGAGGCTTAAAAATAAAGACTTGGAAGAACTTCAAGAGTCTAAAGAAGATTTGATTAGAGTTTTAGAAGAAACTAAAAAATGTGCTGAAAAATCTAAATCTAATTTTGAAATGAAATTATTGCAATTGCAAAGTGTTATGGATGCTGCTCAGCAAAATATTGCGTCGTTAGAGGCAAAAAATGAAAGCTTAATGAATGAAATGGTTCAAAAATCTGAAGATTTTTCTCATAAGATAGACGATTTGACCGGAGAAAACAAGCAATTGGTGGAACAACTGAAGATGAGAGATTTAAAAATTGAAGATATGAATGAAGCTTTTAGAAAATTAAATGAGAGTTTGCAAGAGAAAAGCAACACAATCCAAGAGAACGAGTTGTTGCTGTTCAAACTTAGGAAGGATTTTGAACAGTTAGAAAACCAAAGAATGAAATTGAAACAGGATAAAGGAATGCTAGAATTACTCTGTAAAAAGTATGAGGCTTCTATCGAAGAAAAAGATTCTACAATTGATAAAACAGTATGTGAACTTGAAACTCTGCGAAAGGACTTTGATGAATCTGTATGTAATAGTGAAAAACAGATTCAACATTTAAAAGATGAACTGGAAAAGCACAAATATATAACTGAAATGATCCATAATATAACCAGTGGTAATAAATTACCACCCAAGACATAATTTTTTTTGTATGTATAGTTTATTTTTATATTAGTTTATTTATACTGGATTATCTGGCAATTGTCAATATTATTTATAAAAATGAAGATGTTCTTTATTTCGATTATTTTTTAAGTTTTAATTTCAGAAGCATGAAATTATTGACATAAATTTCCTTATTGGGACCTGTACCATAATTAGCACCAAGTTCTGCCGATAACCAGGCAATGGTGAAAAACTAAACGAAAAAACACAAAATAGTGCAAACTTAAAATCCAAACTCGTAAACAATTCCAGCTTGCCAGTAAATTCTGAATCCAAAAACCGAGGCAACGGTTAACGTTTACATTTTTCGCGTACAGGTACCCATTTGGAAATATCTCCAATTATTTCAAGATTTTTATTGTGATTCCTTGTTTAAAATTTATGAACCAGCATGTATGAAATTTTTATCCTCATATTTGGTGTATTTTTTTTAGCTTTTGTTACTGTTAGTAGAGGTCTGCCCAGGTCAAATATACTACCGTTTAGTAAGCGGTACCTTCACAAATTCAACTTTTGGAAAAACAATAGTTTCACAAAATACGTTTTCTTAAAATTTTATTTTTGTTTCCCTTAAGAAACGATAAATCCATATTTTTGTGTTGATTTTTTAATTTTCACAAATTATGTCTAAATTTTCACAAAATAGGTACTTCTCAGAAAGAACTCGACAGACCTCTGGTTAGGTTCTTTTATTGTAAAAACAAGCAAATCTTTCGTATTCAGAAATATAGCTTGAATATGAAATGTTTTTTAAACATTTGCTTATAATGTCTGATTGTTTAAAAATTTCTGGTTTATTTATAACATAAATAATTTATACATTAGTTTTGTAAAATAAAATTGATTATTTATTTTTTATCTACTTTAATTTTATTATTGTAATATTTTATTATTATAATATTATTTTATTATTTCCTTTATTTTATAATATAAAATACTGTAGAAAATCTTTATAATACAAACTGTGAAATATGTCACTTTAGAAAGTTTTGTTATATACAGTACAGAACCCGTTATCCGGAAATCAGAAAACCGGAAAACCAAAAAACCGGAATGAAATTCGGTAAATTTTCCCGCCATTTTTAAAAAAATTTTTTTTTTCCTCATAAGATTTTAGAATTTTTCCTTCTTTTTTGAACGATGTTTACCTTACCATCATTTTGGAAATAATCATTTGTGTATTACTTCATTGTTTTTTCTTCGTTTTAAGATTATTTTCAAATATTTTTTAGTTGGGTTGGCAATAAAAAAAAAAAAACGGCTTTTTGCAGCGATTCAGAAAATCAAAAAAATCAGTATTCCGGAATAGCGATGGTCCCAATCGTTCCAGGTAATCGGTTCCCTACTGTATATAGACTATTTTACATTTAATTAAACTTACCTACTACAGGGCTGATTGTGCTCAGTAAAAAATCCGGATTTCCGGAATTTTCGCTAACAGTGATACGTAAGTTTCCGGAGATCGAAGGTCCAGACGTTTCAAAAAATCATTGATCACAGAAGTTTCTGGAAATCAAATTTTCAAAGGTGGAACTTAAAAACACAGTTTATTTTATTTATTTGTAAGGGAGAGCCAGAGAGATACTTTATAAACTTATATTCATGATTAATATTCATTTTTTATCAGTAAATAGTTGTTATAATCATAAACTCAAGAAAGATACATATTTGTAAATTTTAATTACTTCTCCAGGTCATGATAGGTATGTGTAAAATTTTAAATATATTTTAAGCAAACTAAGAAATATTGAGAATAAGGAAAAAAATCTTGTTTAATTTTTTTTCTTCTAATTTTTCAATTTAAACTGTTTTTTTTTTTAACTCAAGAAATTTTCTGGAATTTTGACTTGGGCTCACAATCACCCCTGCTACTAAATATAGACAACTATATGTATCTGTAGTCAATCTTAATTCTCTGAAATAATTTTCAGTATAAATATATAAAAATACTATTATTTAAAAGAAAACAAAATTGATATTATTAGGAACATCAAAAATAAAATGCAACAAATTTATCAATTTTGGTTTGCTTTTTTTGAAATTAATGCAGCTTATGTAAAATCATGTTATATAGATCTTTTGTATTAAGTTCGCTATTTTTTGTTTTTGAAAATAGCATAGTCTTGCAGAAAGCCGAGCAAACTAATATAATAGACAACTAGTTAAATTTTGATTTTGCGATGTAGCTAAGTTAGCCGATCATAAAGCTAAAACGTCCTTGTAAAGTCCTTTCTTAAACAAAAACTGGTGCTGAAGCAGACGAAGAGTTTTTCACTTTCTCAAACATACACAAAGCAGAGCTTGTTATGTATTATTGATAGTGTAGTTTTATAGAAAGTGGAATCAACCTATTATCTCATAAGTATGGGCTAATAGCTTGCGTTGTATAGGAACTGATTATCTTGACCTTATTAACTAGATTTTTTTTTAAAAAAGCTTGCTTTTATACAGAAAATAAATAGATAAACAGGATGAGATACAAGGATTCGTAATTGTTCTGACAAAAAAAATATTTTGGCTTTATCTATCATAAATTTTTGCCTTTTGTTCTGAAAACATGAGGGTTACTTAGAATACAAATTTTAAAGTAATCAATTTGAGGGATCTAAAGATTTGGATTGTTTTAATTAGTAAAAATCACAGAATAGTTCAAGCTTAGGAACTATCCTATAATTACATACGTGGCATATTATAGCCTTACCAACAGGATTCATTGTCTGAAGTCTTTTGGGAATTCGGTAATTTTATGAAAAAGAAAATGGAAAATTTTACTTAAATCAAATTTCTATGGTGATAAATGCAAGCAATACGCTTATTTATTTCAGCAAATGCAGTAACAAATCTTATAGAGTGGAGTTTTGAAGTTAAACAATTATTGATTTGTCTTGTTTATCGGATTTTAAAAATGTATCATCACCAATACAGTAATGATATAATAAAATTTTTATATAGTGAAATGAGCGATCAGCCACTAACTTACTTTTATACAAAGACATATTAAGGAAGATTTTCACTTTGTTTTGATTATTAAAATCCTACTTTAAAATTATTTGATTAAAGAAATGTTGAATTCTATTACAAATTTTAATTAAATATTGGTTTGAGGGAATACTTATTGATATTAGATATTTTTTCATTGCATTGATCTCAAACTAGAACTGTAAAATTCTAATATTTTGGAGAAATATTTTTTTGAATATTCTTAGAAAGATTCTCATGAAAGAGGATATTTTCCTGACTAATATTTATGTAACTAAAAACATTTTATGTATAAAATAATAACTAAAACATTCATTTTAAATAAACATAAAAATATATTAATAAACTTGGCCATCTTATTTAATACAGTACAGAACCCGTTATCCGGAAATCAGAAAACCGGAAAACCAAAAAACCGGTACGAAATTCGATAAACTTTCCCGCCATTTTTTAAAAAAAAATTTTTTTTTTCCTCATAAGATTTTAGGATTTTTTTTTCTTTTTTTAAAGATGTTTACCTTACCATCATTTTAGAAATAATCATGAGAGTATTACTTCATCGTTTTTTCTTCTTTTAAAGATTATTTCCAAATAATTTCTTTTTTTTAGTTGGGTTGAACAATAAAAAAAACGGCTTTTTGTAGCGATTCAGAAAACCGGAAAAATCAGTTATCCGGAATAGCGATGGTCCTGACCGTTCCGGATAATCGGTTCCCTACTGTACTTAATAATATTTTTAAAAAAAATTTCAAGACCTACAATTTCAAGAAATTGTAAGATTGTTTAAAATTAAAGAGAATATTTTTGAATATTGTTTTCAAAACACTAAAATATTGTACATGAATTAATATCTCAAAACATTAAAAAAAATTACAAAGAATAAACATAAGTATAATTTAATAAATAATTTGATTATATTTTATTACAGATAAATTAGCTGAACACATTTCAGTTATTAATGTTCTTCAAATATTGTTGTTTTTGATTTAGAATTTTTATTAATTCTTAATTTTGTTATCAAATTTAGCTATTGATCACAGGAGAAATTCGCAATTGTTGAAAGCAAAATAAAAATTAGCAGTTTAGAAAAGTTAATTTTTTTTAAAAATCTATGAATTTTAAATTTTTTGTTTTGGAACAAAAAAAGAAGTTCAGTTAAATAAAATCTTACAGAATCACAGTCCCTTAAATAAAAATTACCAGTTAACTATTATATGATGAGTATACTCAAATAAAACTTGTTCGAGAATGATGAACTACTGCTTATACTGATGTATAAGTTGACTAGTAGTTCTTCTGGTTACGCGTTTGCAAGTTTTCGGTATATCAGGTATGCAAGTCAGTCGATCACTGTTAAAACCACATATGAAAATTTTTAAAACTCAATTAAATTTTTAAAAAAAATGTTAAGTCTACAAAATTTTCTTATGCTAAAATTTCACTTTGTTCTCTTTGGATTTGATAAATTTGTCCTCATATAATGTTATTGGAAAATATTTAAAAAAATGTGGAATTTCAAATTCTTGGGTTTGTTTTTACAATTGGCTAAACTGCTGAGTTCATTTTTTTGTGGAACAATTTAAATGTGTAACTTTATGGCATGTTTTAAAAGTTACTATTGTGTTATATATTTTTTGAAATACTCTCGAATAAATTATCTTCACTTTTCTTATTCTTTTTACTAAACATAATTTAAAGTATTGTTTCTAAAAAAAAAACTTAAGAAAATATGATGAGAGAAAAATGCAAAAAATTAATTGTATATAACACATTAAAAATAATTTTTGTAAAGAGTAAATTGAGACAAAGTTATTCATATCTATCTTATTGTTTTTAACGCATCAGTATTTCATATTCGATGAATGTCTGAGTTTATTAGGAGCAAATTTTAAAACATAAATTGTTCACCATTGAATGCTGGAACTTATATTTATGTGTAATGTAACTTCAAATGTTATAAAATTATTTTCCTTATCTGAAAATATGTTTTATAGTTCAATCGATTATTTTCAACTATTGAAAATATTATTTTCAAAGACCATGTTTAGTCTGTCAGATTAGATAATGTTACAAACATTTTAATTTATCCATTTTCTAATACAACTTTAGCCTGATTCAGCCTAAGCCAGTGTTGGCATAATTTTAATCATTATTTTTTTTTATTCCAGTCGAAAATATATATTTACAGTAAAATTTATTCCTATATCAGAGATGCCAACTGCTCTGGACAAGACAAAATATTATTAAAAACAGTAGAGAACTACTAACTGAAATTTGTAAATTTTTGACTAATTTTTCTGACTTTTTAAAACGCTCAACAATGTTTACATGCAACAAAGTGGAGTATCACATAAGCCTTTGAATGATTTAGAAGAAGTGGTAATTAAACACCTTACAGATCAAATTTACGAAACCAACAATCGTACATTGAAAGACTACCATTCGAAAATAGTTATCAAAATTGACTGATAAAGGGAAACAAAAAAACACTAAAACTGAAAAGACAGTCTAAAAAAAAATCTACAGAGGTGACTGACAATATAGCTGGAAACAATATATTGGCACAGGAGGGACCTATTTATAAACAAAATGTTGTACTGATCCTATACTTTGCACATGAATATAATTTCGAATTGAATATTTTTTGTTTTATTTCATTGATTCATGTGTGGTTCCATTGAATCTAGTTATTAAATTAAATCTAGTCATTTACTTTATTGTTGTTGTTGATGACGTATGCCTATTAAGGTAGAAGTCAAGAGTTGAGGGGTAATTATTGTTATTAATTAAATTTCTAACTTTTTAAAAACACTTACAACTTTAAAATTTGGTAATTAGGATCAATATAACACATTTCAATGAATACAACAAAACAAAAAAATTTTGAAAATTGAATATTTTGTTATTTTATAAATAAATTATATATATAATTTTCCATAGGCTAACATGGAGGAAGTAGCATGGGCTCTTTTTCTCTAATGGGGAACTAGAACTCTTGATTAGGGACTGAAATTATGCACAAAGTAAAAACGATTTGAAAAACAGTTTAAAGATAAAAATTTCAATCACTGAAAGAAAAAAAAGAGAAAGCTTTAATGAAAATTAATGTAGATTTAAAATTTTTAATGATAAAAAAGTTCACATCAACATTTTGACTAATAATTTCAATAACAACACCAACATTTCAACTAGTAATATTTATTCACATAAGTGTTATAAAAAATTCAGCATATTCATTAGAATAAATTTTTAATATTGCAATTGTGGTGTGTCTATTCTACTGTAAGGTTTCATAATCAAAAGAAATAAAAATCATAGAATAAATTCCATAAAATATATTATTTAAAAATACAAAATAATATGACATCTTAAGCTCTAATTTTTAAAGAGAAAAATTGAAAAGTATTTGGCACAAGAGTAATTCCCAAATAACATTTATTACAACAATAAATGTACAAACTGTAAATTAATATTACAATGAAATATTTGAAATGATTTTTCACATGCTTGGGAGGAAGAAAAAAAAAAACATATCTTCAAAAATAAGTTGTTGATAAGTAGATATTTATTAAATAATATTCTAAGAATGTGTTTGATAAACATAGTATATTACATTAGTATTTCATTAAAACTTGTTTTCAAATTTATAGTATGCTTATAAGACAAAAAAATAATATAAGTGAATTCAAAGTTTTTCCATAAAAAAATGATTTACATTAGATTTTAATGTTATCAAAACTTTCAATTTTACGATTATAAATAAAACCATCAAATATGCGTTGCACACAAATAAATGTATTAATTTCATTTCCGTGCAACCTTAATTCTTTTTTTTTTTTGGCAAAAGTCAGAAACACACTTAAAATTCATATTGCAAAATAAAATTTAGAAAAAATATTCATTGATTAAGTACTCTTGATTATTATATATCTTCTGTCAAATTATATGAAACATATCTAGCATATTTTTGCAAAAAGAAATTAAAATGTGATTAATTTTTATCCTCTCTATATATAAATAAAACAATAAAGACAAAAAGAGAAGAAAATTAATAAGTTTTATTTACAGCGCATAAGCTGCAAGCAGAACTCATGTTAAAAATATAGACAAAGCATGAAAAATATTGAAAATTAATGAAAAGAGAAAAAAATTTATTAAAAAATAATAAATAAATATTCTATTTTAAAAATTTTTAAAAAATAATAAAGAAAAATTATTAAAAAATAATGAAATTATAAATAAATATTCTATTTTTCTTCGTTTCTTTTCATAAATCTTCAATATTTCCCATGTTTTCTCGATAATTTTAACTAATACATATATAATTGTTTTTAAAAACAAGTAATTAATTGAAGAAGTTAGTACACTTCAAATTGAATGTTAGAATGTATAAGCTTTAAAGTAAATTTTTGTATGAACATAGTAGAAAGACAATACTTAAAAAAAAAATCTGTAAAAATTATAAAACATCAAATAAAATAAAGAGATTACGGTATCAATTTATTTACTCGCTCCTTTATACAAATGAAAGTCATGCTAACAAACAGAATTATTTTTTATTATAACCAGCAATATCACATAAATGGTTCTTTATATATATTTATAGGAAACACAAGGTTTATTTTTATTTGATTATTACAGAGTCATAATAGATACTTTTCTTTTGAAGTCTATTGACATTAGAAATAAAGAAATATGTGCTTGGAGAAGGACCCGTTTTTCTCTTCATTTTATTACAGAAAGCATGGAATGGAATATAATTTAAAATATTAATACAACATCTAATACACACATACTTAAATTGCATTTTCTTTTAATTATTTTATTCCCATTTGACATGAAATGAAACATCATTTGGAACAGAATAATGATTGCAGGGGTGATTGTATTCCAGGTGCACCCTGGAATTCCAGGTCTAGAAACTAGGAGTAGGGCATGTGATGTTTTTGAGGAAGACCATTGATTTGTGGACTTCCGAAAATCAAAACTTATAATCCAACAGAATTTTCACCATAATCTAAAATTTAAAGTGAGAATTAAGTTCTACAATTTAAATTTTGAAACCTTCCCTAAATCGCGTTAATGAGACGTTTTCATACACGAGACTCTTCTGCAATTTTGATTTTCTTCCTGGACATTTTAAACAATTGAAACTATGCTGGAATTCGCAAATATCGCGATCTATATTCACGCGATTTTAAAGTAAAACACTGATTTTCGAAATTTACTGGATTTAAAAGTTACTTGTTGTCAATAGTACAGCTTGATTCCTTTTGCGTGATTTTTAAATCCTATGTCTCTATTCGTATTCATGGGATCTAAAAATCATGCATCACGATTCGTATTTATGCGATTCAAAAATCCAATATTGCGATTTGTATTTTCGCTTTCTTAAATCCAATGTGATTAATATTCGCACGATTTTAAAATCCAATATCGCGATTCTTGTAGGAACAAAGTTTTTTCTCAAATTAGTTACCATAAAAGTGTGATATTCCTTATTAGTAGGTAATTTAAATATAAATCTTATTTCAAAAATTAAAGATGAATAGTATGTAAATTAATATCTTGTTATCAAGTTTTTACTTGTAGAATTTTCAGGGTTTTTCACTTTGTGTCACGATCACCCTAGTGATTGTTAAGGAATTTAGACTTCCCCTCCTCCTACAAAATATCAACCAAGCAGTTATTTGCAAAATATTGAAAGCATAAAAATAAAACTTTGGTCAACAACATTTTGATTTTACATTATGTATTTGTTTAAGAGATGAGACCCCATTCAAATTACCTTTTTTTCTTCTAAATAATCCATAGATACAAAATTTCCAGGGTATTTTCTTTTTTTTTTTTGGAATATTTTATGTTGACATATAAAATGTAATATTAAAATTAAATTATAAAATAAAACAATAAATATTTTACAACTTTCATTTTTTAAACAATAAATAAAGCTTTAATACATTTAATTGTATGAGGATTAATAATCACAGTTTCAACAGAGATAATTTCATTTTAAACCATTAAAAAAATAATGTTTGTTTATATCAGACATGTAATTCCTGGAATAAGAAATTATCAAAAAAAAATTTCTCAATCTGTATATATATATATATATATACATATTTGTACAAAGAAAAAGAATAACGGATAAATTTTTATAGGAAAAGTAACATATATAAAATTTGAGGAGAGAAAAAAATGTATATATTTAAAAAAATTATATATTCTTCGGAATGGCGGATTGAAATGCTGTATAAATTTAGGGCAAATTGAGCACATCAGAAAATGTAGGATTTATATTTCTTCTTTCTTAATAATATCAGAATTTTATAAAATATAAAAAAAATCAATTTCAATAACTTAAGGAAAAAAAGAGAGAAAAAAAACGGAATGGTCAAAAAACGATGATTTACAATGGTATTGAGCAAGTTAAAAAGTGATAGTCGAAATGCGCAATTCAAAATTTGCATGACGTTTATCCGAAATTGCATTTTTCTTTAACTAATCCGCGCAAAAATGTCGTTATCACACACGATTGAGAATTTAGGAAGAAAAAATGGCGGTGTTGGTAAGGGCATTAATGTTGGACTAACAAGATTTTGCGAAAGTAACGCAATTTAAATTATAGATTAGGAGAACTCTGAGAAATTTTTGTTGGAATATAAATGATTGATTCACGGAAGTTTGCGAATCAGCTGCGTCGAGATTCACGAAATTCCGTGATTTAGCATTAAAAATCACATGCCTGCTATACGTAAACAAGGAATTAACAAAAAATGATAGTTAATTTTTATTCTAATTTCAAGACTAATGAAAGGTTTCAAAATTACAAAAAGAGCCAGTTTTAAATTTAAAAAAAAGATTTATCTATGATTAATGATTTCAAAAAATCCAAAGAGTAATTTCATCCCTCTACTAATTTCTGAGAGAGAATTTAAAAAAAAAAAGAGGATTATGGAGGAAGGAAGCAAAATGTCACCATTTTATAAGATAGATTATCTTAAATTTAACATATTAATTATGATTAATTACACAAAGTAAACACTTTAATATTGAATAATAATAAACTAAAAGACATTGAATAATAAACATAATACTTTCAATTATTTTTTACATTATTTACAGGTTAATTAAATACTCATTTAATAAAATACATAAAATTTAATTTATATAATTCTTAACAATAATTATAAGTTGAACTATATGACAAGGGAGATAAACCACCTATTTCAGAAGTGATTATCTAATAACATGGGGGAACAAACAATTTTTGAGGAGAGATACTGAATTTGAATGTGGGAAACATGCATCTACATACAGATGAGCGAATTCCGTGCGTAACAGAAAAAAGTAATTTCTTTTTTAATATTCCAAATGAGAATAAAATAATAACTGTGCCATATATCACTTTTATATACATACAAGTACATAAATAATACAATAGAGACAATCATTTAAAAATGTCATGGCATGCAATTGAAATACTAGATTTATACCTAAGAAAATATATGCAAGAGAAACGATGAGATAAAAAATATGCAGTTCAATTANAAAAAAAAAAAAAAAAAAAAAAAAAAAAAAAAAAAGGTACATTATGACAAGCAATATTTCTGTCATGACTTCAATTATCTGATGGGGTAAAAAAATTATACATTGAGTACCAACTGAAAAATATGCAAACAGAAAAACAAGTAGATCTATTTTTAAAATGGTACAAATGCCTCATTACTCCTAGTCTCAGTTATTTTCTTGTTAAAATTAGGCAAATAATGAAAAGCGGTGAAATTGTTGCCATTTTAAATCACTTAATCAGATCAAAAATTACAAAATGCAGGTATCATATTTCTGCAAAAACACCACTTATTATTAATTTGTTATTCTTTTATATACTCAACTGAATTACTATATTTTAATCCAAATAAGTGATAGAATAATTGCTGCTGCATACAATTATGCTTATCAAAAATTTATATATTGCTAATTCACAAATAAAAGAAGAAAAAAAAGAGGGCTAAATTTATGCTCTTCATAACAGCAGTAAAACAGAAAAAATATTGATTTTTTAAGATTAATTTTCGAGCAATTTTTAAAACATAAAAATTTTCAATTAATTTCTGAAATTAAAAAGTACATACGAAATTAAAAATTTCAACTAGTAGCATGCACAAAATCTCCTCTAAAGTAATAGTTATTCTTGTCAGTGATTCTTCTATTTATGCATTCAGATTATTAGCTGTACTCACAATTGATGTAAATTTGCACAATAGGTCTTCTATTTATCTAATCTTTAGGATGTTCTAAAAATGCTCGAATCGTTAAGGTATATCTTTTATTTTAAATGGCTTTAAGCTTCCAGTAATGGCGATTATTTTTAAAAAACTATTTGATCAAAACAAGTAAAAAAAAAATTTAACTTTTGACAACAGCAAATCTCTACTTTCAATAATATTTTATAAAAATTTAGTACTTAGGAAATTAAAGTGTTAATTGTTCTTCAAAGGAAAACTAAAAAAATTCTCTGGTGGGCAAATTTTAAAATAAAAATAAGTCCAAGACATTAAAAAAAAAACCATTGATAAACAGAATACTTCTTTATATTAGTTCAAATAACCACAACTATATAAAAGAAAAACAGATTAACAGATTAAATCCGCAAATAAAAACTGAGATGGTTTAGCATAATTGTGTATTGTGAATAGATTTAGCATTATGTGTGTAAGACAAAAAGTTCATAATTAGATATTAATGATTCAATTAATAGAATAGTTTACATAAAGATATAAAACATTTAAACGGCAACATGTATTTGATTTTGGAAGGAGAAAAAAGAAAGAGTAAAAAATTAAAATGAAATTATCAACAAATCAATGGAATTTTAATAGATTAAAGAGCTATTATTAGTTAGTTTAGAAGTCAGTCGACAAACAAGTTTGATCTGAATGATGTATAAAAAATATGTCACGTAGATAAACATAATTTCAGCTTTCATGTTCCATCAATTTTTATTACATTTATTTATTTATTATTTTTCTTGTAATATTTTATAAATGTTAAAACATCTTTTTTGGCACAGTGTCATTTTATTTGAAAAATTCGTAAAGATTATCAAATTTGATAAAAAAAATGAGTTGTTTGTCATTATAAAATTTCGTAACTTATAATTGTAACTTTATTGGTTTACTGTTACATTAAGCTGAGCAATATTATAACAATAGAGTAAATTCCATTATAAATACAATGAAAATTGGCACACATGTCAGTTAAATACCAGGAGGAAAATAAAATTTATATGATTTCGTCAGTAATAAATAAAACAATTTCAATACATTTCTTAGTGTTACAGCAATTATTACTAAGCATAAAAGTACAGTATAATTGCACATAAAATAATAATACATAAGAAGGAAAAAAAAAACAATTCAAGAGGCATGTATGAGATTGCAACTATCTTTAAATGCATTTAAGCATTAAAAAAAAAATATTTGTTGTTCATTATTTACAATTTACAATGTGCTTCGTCTTTTTGGCCTTGTTACTTCTTTCAAAAGTTACCTTTAATTTTTTTTTTTTAATTGCAGATCTAGATAAATCAGTTTCTAAAGGTTGCCTCTGCAACATTTCTTAACAATAATAAAAAAAAATGACTCATGTTGATAATAAAATTGCTATTGTAAAAATTAAAACACTCGCTTTCTTTCAAACAGTTTAGCAATTAATTGGATCAAGAAGATTTCATATAAATAAAATGCAAAAACAGATAGCATATCTATTGTCTACATAGTCAAAAATTATTCTATAACCAAAATGTATGAAAACAACTTATGAATAAAATCTTTATTAGTTTAGGTACAAATTCAACAAAAAAAAATCTCTAAATTTTGATTTAAGATAATGCTTTTCAAATGTCATTTTCTGAAGAAAAAAAATTATATAACGCTTTTTGAATATTAATTTCTGCCAAAATAAATAAATAAAAATTAATAATAATGTAAGTTTTTCTAAGAGTTGAGTTCAAAAACAATAACAATTACACACCGGTTCAGAAAAGTTGCCTTTAAAAGTTTACAGACATAAACTATTCCCTACAACACTTGTGGCCATTCTGAGAGAAAAGAAGGAGATAAACACAAAACAATGTGTTTATACTTTACAAGAATATTAATTATGTAAGCACCGTAATGAGAATGATGCATTCAAATAATACTTTATCTGAATACAAGAAAGGGGACACAATAGTGTAAGTCATCCAAATGACAAAGTGATGCACAACATATATTCAGCTATATACTTAGATGTCTAATGAATTAACATTTTGGTTAGTCAACCTATACAAATAGAACCTTAAATTTATAGTTTTGCTTTAAGAAATTCAACAGTCTTTTGTATTAATAACTAAAGATCGAACTAAAACCTCTAGTTAGATTTTTTCTCTCCCTACATCAAGGAGCCCGCCGTATCGGCAATTTTTCCCCCCAGCAGCTCAGTACAAAATTTATCCCTCTAGTGCCATTGCTTAAAAGCCCAAATTAATTAATGTACACGAAAAAGAGTATAATTGGAAGAAAAAAAATTTATTTTTTTTAGTATGCCCAGCAAGTTTAAATTGCTTATTTTGAGTTGAAACTTTGTGGGCCGAGGAATACATATGAAAATTTTAATCTGAATTTTTACACCTGCTACTAGGTAGTTTTTGGCACTATAAGGTTTAAATAATTCAACAAATAATTTCAAACAATGAAAGAACAACATTTCAGCAGTCGATTATTCAAACACAAAGAAGATTCAACAGTAATTAATTGCAGGAAAAAGTTTGATTGGTCTGATTCTACACTTAATATGGTAATTAATACAATTTAGGAAATTACCTATGGCCATCATAGATGGCTGCAAGCCTCCCAGCTACTCCCAGAGGACAGCATGGAATCTCTAAAGTCTAAAGGAGAACTGATATCCCCAACTGAACGAGAACTCTCCCCAAAACAGCCACTTGCAGAGCGGCGCATGGCAGTGGAATGAAAAGTTGCGGCATCATATTCCTGCCTAGATGCGACAGAGTTCACGACCCACACCGGAATGTGTCGAATCAATCCGTCATCCGAAGCCTGACTTTGATGCCTATTATTCATTGTTCTATCACTGACGAGAATGTGTGACGAAGATGCATATCGACCATCTAAAAACCTGCCACTGGATTCGAACAACGGCCGACTCGAGCGAGATATCGTGGGAGAAGACCCTGCAGAGCGATGGTGCCGCCTCTCTCCTGTTTCGGAGCAGATCGAGCCAGATCTCGAAATACCTTGTTTGTTCAGCCCACGTGACGACTGAACGGCTGAATGGGTGCCGTGGCTTTCACAAATCGAATCAGGACTCGAGGAGTTGTAACAACTTCTTTCAATGGTACAGCCAGACACTGTAACAACCGATGAGCAACATGGGACATCCACGTAGGAGAGATAACTGGGGCCAGCCCTGTCATTTTTCCTCCTGAAAGGATGACCTGGTATGTTAATACTAGTGGGTCTGGTTTGAGATTCTAGGCCACTGCTAGCTAGCTTGTGACCTATATGAGGATTTATAGCCTCTAGAGGATGAGAAACATTTTCTGTCGAATTTCTTGAAGTGAGATCCATGCCGTCCTCAAATACTGCCTGATGCGCCGTATGCAAGTTATCAGGAATAGTCTGACAAACAAAACTTATTTCATTAGGTCTATCGATTCGTCGTTTCTTTTTCTTACGTTTTATGAGTGAAAACTTCTTTAAATTCGATAAAGTCTTTTGGAAATGAGGAGCTTTATTACAATCGTCTTGTAACTCTCTTAAACGAGAGGTGTTCTCGTAGGTCGGCTCCCTCGAAGACAGAGCGGAGCGAGTCGATACCGTTCGATACGGCATAGAACTGTTCGACGCTTCGGCTACGCGAGATTCTTTAGCGAAATCCGCATCTGCCGAACTAGAATCACTGGTGCTAGGGCTTAAAGTGGGCTGGTCGTAAGTCGGACTGGAACTACTAGACGATTCACTGGCTTCTCCACACCACACGGTCGGATCAGGGTACAAGTTGTTGTTATTTTCTTGGCTAGATGAGGTTGGATATGTACTGCAATATTTGTCCTGATTGTTTCTGTTCAAGCTTCTCTGAAGAGTATTGTCAGTAGGCGGGTCACAGCAAGAATGGCGCTTAGTTCTTCCTTTCTTGGAGATGAGGGAGCATGTACATGAACTTGTAGTAGGAATGCTTTCATTACAAGCAGTACTTGTACTTGGCAAGCTGGTACTTGTCACTTCTTGAGCAACTGCAGCTGCTTCTGGTTGTAAGGAACTAGAAGCACCAACATTACTACAAGATTCTTCATATTGAATATCAGGAGGTAAAATCGCACCACTGGTTGAATTTGCCATGTTATTGAGCTCAATATCTACTGCAGTACATATACTACAGTTTGCTATAGGAGCATTTTCAGCGGCTTCAGTAGCTGACTGGGCTTGTGAAGCAGATTCTTGATTTTCTACATGAACAGATATTATAGCTTGGTGTTGCATTTCTACTTGCTCAGCGGTAGCATATCGAAAGCATTCATTATTCGAGTAAGGCGCAGTTAATTGAACAGAGAGGTCATAGGGAGGTGGGGCTTCACCAGGAGGAATATACATTTCTGGTGGTTTCCAAAGAGTATAGGGTGGAGGAGGTTCATCGTAACGACTGAAGTCTAATTGATCGTGACCCACAAAGTAGCCAACACTGCCATCGTCATCCTCAGAGAATCTTCGAGATAAATGAGCATTTCCATTGTCCATTCTTCTCGCATGAAATCCTGTTTCAATAAAACATTATCATATGTTTATTACTTTAAAATATAAAGCAAAAAGAAAAAGAAAAAAAGAATTACGTTACTTACTTCTGATCATGAGTAAAAGTCTTCTTTGACGAAGACGATGAATCATAAAGAGCAACAGAGCTAATATAAGAAAGGAAGTAACAGTGCTCGCAACCAGTCTCAATCCTAAATTAGTGGTGCTTAAGGAGTCTACATCTATTTGAATAATAAAAAAAGTTTTTCATAAGTTAAAACAATTTGTTAAAATCACCACAAATAATATGCAATTAGTTTTCATGTTAAATGAACAATAAAAGCCCCCAAAATTTAATAACCTTAATAAGGCCACCTTAAATAGGCATAAGAAAAAATATATATTTCAATCTTAAAGGCTAAAAACATGTTAAAAAAAAAAACAATATCATTCTGCTTTCAGTACTTAGATTTTATATCTAATTATAAACCAGTTACTTTTGAGATAAATATAGTTTCAGTTTTGAAATTTCCTTCATTTAATTTTATGAAACATTAATAAAAAGTTATGTAAATTTTAATTCCTGAAAGAAATAAAAGGTAAAAAAGCAAATTGTAAGGTAAAAAAAATATTAGTACAACCTTTTTGCGCTAAACAGTTGTTTTAAATATGTTAAAACTAGAAGCTTATTTAAGTGTTAATATCTCAATTTGAATTATACCTAAAATGAAAGCCTTTTCTCTCTACTCTATACATAAATGAAAGAAATACAGATTTTTGACAATAAACTTGATTGAGATTATATTTGAAAGCTTTTTGTAAAAATGTAAATGTGCTTTTGCCATAAGGTAAAAATTATATACTATTCATCTATGGTATTTTTCAAATTAATTCCTTTTAAATATATATATATTTTTTTGGTGAAATAAAATGAAATTAAGTTTATCTGTTTCGTGACGATTCTTTTCCTAGATACACCAAACAGTCTCAGATACCACATAATGAAAATTTGACAGACTTGATACTAATTTTAGAGTATCTATCACTACAAAGAAACAATTCCAATTCATTAGTATATGAGACATGTTAACTCTATTCTATGGTGATGAACTTGTGGGATAGCTTTGCGTTATAGCATGCTTGTTTAAAGTACGGCCCAATAGCCTTTAAAATGCGGCTCAAATGAAAATTATAAAATTTTCACATTTTTATTAAAACAATTTTAAAAATGGAAAGTATTAAGCAATGCTATAAAAACCATTAACATAATAATAGTAGAAGGACTTAATCATAGACAATTTCAAGAGTTTTTTAAGGTAATGGGCACTGAATTTGCAGATGTTATTTATTATACAGAAGTAAGATGGTTCAGTAAAGGTAAAATGCTCAAAAGATTTTACAAATTGAAATCAAAATATTTTTGGAAACAAAAGGGAAACTAGTGACTGAATTTGAAGACAAAGATTGGGTTTTAGATTTAGCATTTTTAGAAGACTTAACAGAACATTTGAAGGATTCAAATTTGAGACTTCAAGGGGAAAAATTAATTTATAAATAATATGTTCCAGTTTTGAAAAAAGCGTTTGAAAGAAAGTTAAAATTTTGGCCCAATAAAACAAAAGTAAAAGACTTGACACATTTCAGTACTTTGGCTGCACATAAACCTGTGAGTGCAAAATATGCTGCATTAATTTTTGAATTAATTCAAGAATTTGAAAGCAGAGTTCAAGATTTAAAAAAAAAAATGAAGAGTACTTCAACATATTTTCTATTCCATTTTCTCCAGAAATAAATAACCTTCAAATGGAATGCATTGAACTGCAAAGTGACATTCAACTGAAAGAAAAACATGGAAATGTTTCTTTATTGGAGTTTTATAAAGATTATCTACTCCACGATAAATATCCTAATTTTCACAATCATGATTTATTAACGTCATCAGCTTTTGGCAGCACTCTCATCTATATTTATGAACAATTGGCAGCTCTGTCATCTATATTTATGAACAATTATTTTCAAGAATGAAGCATGCAAAAAACAAAAATAGAACAAAGATCACTGACAAACATCTTGAAAATGCATTAAAGAACTGCAATCTCGTCTGTTGAACACGATATCTATTGGCTTGTTCAACATAAACAACATTCATCCATCTCTATAATTTGAATTTTTTCCATCTTTATGAAATCCAAACTAAATTAAACGAAACTTTTACAAGTTTAAAATAAATATGTACCTATACATATCTAATTCAAAATTTTTTTTTAAAAATTAATAATAAAAAGAAGTTGATTTACTTTAATAAAACTACATAGAGTTAATCTTCATATGAATTTGTTGAAAAAATATTGAATGTGTGGAGCAGCAAATTTTTTTTTCTTTGCAATATGGCCCTCAAATAGTCATAGTTTAGACATCCATGCGTTAGAGCATTTGTGCTTAAATAGGTGCACTTAACTAAATATCTGCTTGTCGTTTTCCTTCATCTGTAAATCTTTTTATTCATCAGTCTTGTTCATGAAAAGAACTCATTATTAAAAAGGAACACAGCATTTGGTGTCAGAAAATGACTGTTTAGTAATCAGGGATGAGATTGGCCAAAAGGCAAAAAAGCTGAATTTCCACGCAAGTAAATTTTATACGCGTGCAATCGTTTAGTAATAAATTCCTGACAATTTAAGATAGTAAATAACAATATGTTGACATAAGATTGTGTATGAATTTATTATTATATAAATGATTACATTGATACTTAACATTAAAAAAATAAAGCTAGAAAATAATATTTTTCTTCAGTTCACATAAGAGATAACTATTACTGCCTGGTTTAGTAAATAATAACTACTGAGAACACAAATATTCACACATTAATATTCCATTTCTTTTAATAAATACTGTTACGTGATTAACAGCATATATATCAGTAACATGACTTTTTAATTTATTTAGAAAGGAAAAGAAACTTTTACAATTGGAATCACTATGTTCATATTATAATCTAGCTAGAGCCCTGTGAAACATGTCAATAACTGTGAAGTAGAAATATATAGAACTCCTTTACATGATAATCAGCAACTGTTTAGATAATTATTTTTCATTAACCAGGTTTTCCCTGTGGAGGGATAACACTGTAATAACTTGTATGAATAGGAAAAATATATCCAAGATTAGTTAAATGTAAAGCATGATCCAAGTATGGACCTGTGTATTTGAATTGGGTGCAACCAGTAGCTAAGTTTTGGGGAACAAAACCACCTCCCAAATAAAGCATTACTTGATTAATGAACTAATGTACAGTAAGTAGGATATAATATAAAAGAAGTTTTAATTATTCCTCTTTTTGTATATCTTAAACGTTTAGAATATATATCAGTTCAGAATATAACGTTTAGAATATATATCAGTACATATATATTAAAAGGATAACCCTCTCAAAGATACATGCACAATTAATACAGTTTGCACAGTGTATTCATTGTGCACAGTGGTACTTGAAAAAAGAACTGATTTTAATTTTTTTAGTGATCTGTCTAGACATTTTGTGCAAGGTGCGGTTTTTGTGAAATTGGGAAAAAATTACTCACATTCTTCCAACCAGGGTCCTGCTTTTATGAATTTGTGCAAACAGGGTCGGGTTATTGCAAAAAACTTTTTCAAGGAGATTTCAAATTGTAAATAGATACAAGATTATGCTCTGCATTGTAAAATTATATAAAAAAAAGAATTAAATTTTCAAAACAAAAAACAGCAATTGCTGCTTCTAAATTATAGATGCAGCATACAAATATTTGCCTATACTGCTTAATTCAGCCTATACTGCTGAAACCAAAATATTCATTTCAGACGAATAATGAAAGAATCGTCTGCCGAAGACAAACTTAATTCGTTTCATCCATCTTTCTTGTTTTCTGCCCTGGAAAGGGTTTATTCAATTACAAAACAATAATGAAGATAAACAAATTTGTGAAGGGTCCGTTTTTAAGTTAAAATATTTTGTTAAGTTAAAAAGTTTCTTCTAAACAGACCCCTGGTGATTAGCTAGTAATAATTATGTAGTAAATAATTTTAGTTGTAATATTGTTTTAAATTAATATTAAGCATTATTTATACATTTTATCTGAGTTTTGATTGGCAAATGTATAAGTAAAAAAAAAAAAATCCGATTTTTTTGTGTCACAGAGATAGAATGTGGATGATGACTAACCATCTTTACCAGGATATGTGCTGTTTCCTGAAGCTTTGTTAGGGAAATCTCGATCCAAGCAGACAAACTCGCAGCATTTATCACTCAAGGCATGGTACTGTTTACAGTTCTCTGGGGGTGAGCAGAAGACGGCAATGCACATTTGTGGTTTCCCATTCAGACACGTACACTGGGTGCACGGATCACTGCCCAGTGGGAAGAAACGATCTCCGTGTGACACCTCCTTCCCTTTGTGATCGAGACAGTTCTGGTAATTTTCACCTTCAGCTGTGGAGAAAAAGTTATTGATAATATTGAACAATAATAATTTGAAATACAATGAAACTTCATTAAACCAGTTAAGTAGCTTGTCATGTATACACATCATTGCTTGATTTTAATTTGGAACCTTGTCTGATTATTGTTTAACTGTCCCGGAAAAAAAATGAATTCAGTACTTCTTTATAGAAACAAGATTTTTACCCTAGAAAATTTGATAGCACTACTATTATTAGCAAGAACATAAAAACTTGAAGGAGCTAAATGGTTGAACAGGGTGCGTAGCAAAATCTTTCAACAAAAAATAAGCACCTTTTAAGTACTTTTTAAGCACTCCAAAAATATTTTTAAGCATATACAATAACAAAATGCTAAATAATTTTCAAAGACTTCACATGATCATGGTAAAATAATTAGTTTCTGACAAAGAACTCTTACTTTATTATATTAGCCACCATAAAATGATCAAAAGATTTTTAAAACTGAGAATATCTTGCAAAATGCGGCAGAATTGGACATGAGAGAGCAATAATCTCACCCAACCCAGCTCAGTAGACGCACATGCAGACTCGTAAGTAATTCCTCAAAAATGTAAAACGATTGGGCGCTTTCAAATGCGACCGACTGCATGCCGAAATAGATAGTTGTTGAATGAATTGAGAAAACGCTGAATAGAGAAATGTGAAAAGTAAGCTTTTGCATAATACGTGGCGAAAATTGACATAGTAAAGAAAAAAAAATCTCATCTTCGAAAAGGGAAAATGAAGCACTTTTTAAAAACACCCAACGAAAAAAGCCCTTTTAAAAAATAAAAATCAAAAATAAGCACCTTTAAGCACTTTTTAAAAACGCTATGCACCATACTGAAGGAGATGAAGGGCAAATTTAATTTATTAGATGGCGACATTGGTAGATAGATGTATCAAATAAAAAACAAGTTGAAGAAACACAATCTACTGTTTACAAAATTAATTTTTCTTTCCTGAAATAAAGGGCTTAGTTTGCTAATGAAAGAATTTTTTATCGAAATAAAATTTCAAAAGATATAAAAACAGAAAGGAAAATATAACTAAAAGGATTCCAAAAGTGCATATTGCATGCAGATCTGGGTTGTGGAGAGTTGCTCAAGCAACATTAAAAGTGTAATATTCATTAAAAAATTCCAAGAAATAGAAAAAGCAAATTGTTTCACTACTGTATTTCCAGTTCTAGTAAAAAATTTTATACTTAGATGTTTATTGCTTTTTATTGAATGATAAGCGTTTGTTTATTACTGTGTCACCAATTTTCAAAAAATAGTTTTAAAAAAATTAAACCTACATGGAAAGCAAATTATAATAATAATTACACATTTTATTACATTTAAGTAAATGGGATTAAAATTTTAAGTAATTATTAGACCCCTAATTAGTAAATGAAATTGGGAAGGGATATTTAAAAGATAAAAAAAAAAATTTTTTGCTCCGAATTTCATTTAAAATTAACATTTTAAAAATGGGAGAGGCTTCTTTTGCCCCTTGCTAGCTACCACGGCTGTCTACCCACCCATCTGAACAAAAAACAACAGCAATAAAACCCATATTTTAGTGGGGTTTTTTTTAACAAATAACAAAAAAAAAAGGAGTTGGTTTATCCATCTTTTTTTCCCTGTTATTACTACAATTATTATAATTTCACACATTTAAAAAAAAAAATTTCTCAAATTATTTTATTATTTTTAAGTAAATACTCTTGATTATATGCTAAAAAATGGAGCAAAAAATTTTATAAAACATTTTTTAAACTTTCCATTTAATGGAAATATATTATATTTTAAAGAATCAAAAATAATCTAACATAGCAGAAATGGAACACTCTCTGCATTTTACCAAAATAATTTTAATCTCAATAATATCACGTATTAATTATAAGAAAACTCTGCAATTTACATGAATTAAAATGACATATCAGCAAAGTAAAAATAAAACGAATGCCACATTTAGTTCAAAGTTCTGTAGTAGTCTCTTCTGGTTCTGCTTTACTCGTAAAATTTTTGTTAAACTTACAAGTTAACTAACAAGTTAACTTTTGTTAACTAAACAAGTTTTTTCAGGACCCAAATTGTTTCGATGTTAGAACCAAACAACCACACGTAGAAAACTTCAATAGTTTGCTGGACAGCTAGTTAACTGAACCATAAAAAGAGTAAATTCTTTTGTATTTTCCACCACACTCTATCTTTTATTCTGAAGCACAGAAAAAGAATTAGCCATTCAGCATTTTTTTTAGAAACCCAAATCCTCTGCCTTTGTTCTCACGAAATCAGAAAGTTTTTCTCCCATTGTAATTCGCATATTAGCTAAAGATGGAAAGGAGTAAAGGCTTGATTACAGCTCTTTTCAATAATTTCTTTCATATGGACCCTTGTGGCAGAATTATTTCAAGCTTTCTGAGACATAACTCTCTAATACTATTATATCTTTCTACAAGGTAGTTTTAAAAATAACAAATATATATGTTACTAATTTAAAGTAACAAAAGCATCAACTTCAAAGAAAAAAAAAAACTTTTTCAATTGAATATGTAATATTTTTTTTATATTCTAATATTACATTGGTATTCTTCTATTTTGTAGGGGGAAAAAAAAACAAAAAAAATTTTTTTCTCGTCCTTTGCAAATCCTTATCACAATAAAAATAATCGTGAAATCTGAGACTACCAAAAGAAAAGATCGATGGCAAAATCACGCAAATCGGACTCTTCAAAAAGGGGTTACTAAATGCGTGTTTTCAGTTTGAGATTCAGTTGTCGTAATGAATTATACAGCATTAAAAATATTTGATTTCAAAAGCTATGTGGAAATCAATTTCAATAGTAATAATTGCATAAAATAGAACAAAAATGTCTGCAGAAAAGAAAACCAAAATTTTTTACTTCATTACTCTTTATTTTTCATTATTCTCAAATGAGAACAGAAAAATCAGAAGCATTCTTTTCCTCACTCTGATGCGCGAGAAAAACATCTTTTGAATATAATTCTGAAGAAAAGAAAAAATCCTTCGAAAATTTCTGCAGAAAAGAAAGCCAAGGATTTTTACTTCCCAAAGGAAAAATCTTTCTGCAAGAACTCAGTAACGTTCTGCAACAATGTCGCCACAATTTTGAAACAGGGATATGGACTCTCATTGTCTGGATAGCTTAATTTCAGTGTTACTTTTTAAATGTAAAGTTTTGTGTAACAGATAAGCGACAATAAAAGGTCATCTCATTTTTCGTATGCTGATAATGTTAAAACCTAAATTGTAAAAAATGAAAAAAGAAGAACTACTGGGTTGAAAAGTATATTGGGTGCTTTTCTGCATAGGACTGTCTTTTAATTTTCACCAAACTGTATTTTAAAATATCCATAAGAAAGAATTCAAATAAAATTAAATTAATTAATTGAAATTGAGAAACATTTTTGGCTATATCTCATCCAATGAAAAATGAAATGAAGTGGCATAATAATTTAATGTGTTTGTTAAGCTTTTTAAAATAAAATTTACGTTTGACTAATCTTTCAATATAAATACTGTATGCTGTTATAGAATTCATAAAATTATATATGTAATAATAATATTGTATACTAGTAATATACCATGCAATTTACCAAATAAAATTTAACCTAAAAATATCAATTAAACCCAAAAAAGAAAACTTGGGTTTTTCTTCCAGCCCTGCTAGCTACGCCACTAAATACAAATTTTAAATCTATTAATATTGTCTACTTTGATATATCAAATAATATAGATTCTAAAAACTGTACAGAAGAAATATTTAACTTTATGGATGCAATGATAAATTTTCTTTTAAATAAAGCAAATAAAATTATTTTCCCAGTGTAAAAAAAAAAAAAAAATTGCTTTTTTTCACAGAAAAAATTGTTACAGACTGATAATATTGTTATTTTTTTTTGTCCCTTTAATGTACAGTACTATAAATATTAATAGATTTCTTTTTATTGTATTTAGAAAAAGGGTAACTTTTCAACATTTTAAATACTGTTACTATTTTTTTTTATTTCAGGATTTTTAAAATTATTAGATTTAAGGAAACATTGCTTAAATAAACGTTGCTCAGTTAAAATTGAAAAAATAGTGATTTTCCAATTAGTTTGATAAGGTAGAAAAAACACACCAATCCACTACACTCATTAAATTTAAAGAAGATTAATGGAAAAATAGTTAATAGTATTAAGAATAGTTCAAATGTCAGTGTCAAAATTCAGTCAAGTTTATATTTAAATTGCAAACAGATTCACATAGTTAAGACAATTTCTAAATGAGTAATCTAGGGGTGCACAACCTCTTTGAGTGAAGTGCCACAGCAGGTTGACCAACGAAGAGCCACATGCATATTCAGTCATGTTGGAAGCAAATATGATAATTTTTATCTTAAAATTGGTGCGTTGAGCAATACATATTTTCATCAGTAAATTTAGTAACTTATTTTCCAAAAATTAAACACTTTTAATTATTAAAATTCCTTCAATATAAAAATTAATATTTTTTTTTGTAACATATATATTTGATGAAAAGAGATATTATAAATTTTAACAAAAAAAAAAAAAAAAAAAAAAAAAAAAAAAAATGTTCATAGAATAAATGTGTAAAAAGAACTATATACATACTTATTTTAATGAGTAATATAAATTTGAACTAAATATTTCAATAAAAGAAAATTTATAGGGTTTAAGCAATAACCAAAAATTATATCTAATTAAAGAAAAGATTCAGTATTTTGTAAAGAAAAATGGAAAATGTTGTTATTTTTCAATATGTATATATATATATATAATATATTTATATATCAATATGTATATACATACTTTTTTTGGAAAAATAACAACATTTTTCATTTTTCTTCACAAAATACTGAATTTTTTCTTTATATTGTGTTCAGAAGCTCTTGCGGGCTGCAGGTTGTGCCCCCCCCCCCCTAGAATAATAATTTTTTGCTTTTGTATGATTTACGTTTGCCACGAACAATTTAATTCATTTAATTTGATCATATTATCAGTTTTAACACAACAAACTATTTTTTTATAGATCATGATGAACCAAATATTTGATATAAAAATTTGATCATTTTAAACTTAATTTACCTTTTATGAGCAAATTTTTCAACAAAAATTTATGTTTATTTTTAGTGTATAACTCCACAGAATTGCCCATATGATTCAAAAACAATGAAATTTAATACCAGAACAACCATGCAATCCAATGTAAAATAATCTCTTCCTTTTTAAAAATAAATTTTCTGATTTAACATTATTTTCTTTATACCTAAGCAATTTAGAAAAAAAAAACTTATGGACTTAAAATTTTTATAATAATTGTCAATAAACCTATGAAAATAATTTTTCCTATTCGTTTGTTATACAGGGCTTTTAAATGATAAAAAGTAGTCCAAGATTTTCAAAATAATATGAATATGTTTACCTATGTAATAATTTTACATAATATTTAAAACTTCAAAACTGCTAAAAACAAGTTAATGTCATTGATTTGTTAAAAATAAAATATATAGGAATTAATTATTGCTTTAATTGTTAAATCATTTTCAAAGTTTCCATATAATAACAGCTTTATTGGTATAATTTTTTTATTTATTACAAATAATATTTTAGGCAGAATTTTCTATGAGGTAATTTGAAAAAAATCTTATCACCTTGAGACACATATTGGAAATAAGGATAGGATTAATATAAACTCACCCTCATTTGTTAAATCTGCAGATGGCCAAAGCATACACCCAAAGAGAATACTTATGAGAAACATATTTATCAATATCTTTTCACAACTGACGAAACATGATCTGAAAAAAAAACAAAAAACAAACATAATTGTTTGACAGAATAAAAAACTGAAATTTGAACAAGATTTCTATAGCTCTTTCTTTCAGCAAATCTTTTGGGTTATTTTATTGATCTTCTAGTCACCTGGCAAGCACATATTGACCATAGTTGATTTGTTGTTTATTGTTTGCATAAATTTTTTTTATTTGTTTTAAACTATATATAGGTCAAATAAGAAACTGTTTTAGATAAATAATAATTTTCAAGTGTATATACTATATTTTTATACACTTGAAAAATTTTTTCTTTCTTTTTTGTGACTTAAACTTTGTATAGGTCAAATAAGAAACTGTTTTAGATAAATTGTAATACATAAATTCTTTATTTTAATACGCTTGAAAATATAATTAATAAAAAACTNCTCAATTAATTGCATCTTTTTAGGCTTTTGTTTAAAACCTATAAATTTTATTCAATTAAAATATTTAATTTGAATTTATATTACTTAATTATGACAAAATTTTTTCCTACTTTCATTCTGCGGGTATTGCAGTTTTTTTTAATTTATTAGAATTTAATTCTAAAATGAATTTTCGTATCGCATGATATGATAAAAAAAAAACATTTCTTTTCTTCAATGTTTATTTGTTTTGATAAATCTCTTATTTATATGATAAAAATAGCAAATTTTTTTTGGTAAAAAAAAAAAGTTAAGGTTTTTTTACTTTTGAATGAATTCTAATAATGGAACACCTTTAATTTNTAACAAAAAAACAAAAAAAAAACATAATTGTTTGACAGAATAAAAAACTGAAATTTAAAAATGATTTCTACAGCTCTTTCTTTCAGCAAATCTTTTGGGTTACTTTATTGATCTTCTAGTCACCTGGCAAGCACATATTGACCATAGTTGATTTGTTGTTTATTGTTTGCATAAATTTTTTTTATTTGTTTTAAACTATATATAGGTCAAATAAGAAACTGTTTTAGATAAATAATAATTTTCAAGTGTATATACTATATTTTTATACACTTGAAAATTTTTTTCTTTCTTTTTTGTGACTTAAACTTTGTATAGGTCAAATAAGAAACTGTTTTAGATAAATTGTAATACATAAATTCTTTATTTTTATACGCATGAAAATATAACTAATAAATAAATTTTTTTCCAATGCAGTTAATAAAACGTTATATTCTCATAATTGTGCGTCCTGATAGATGCAATTTTGTGTTAATTCATTTAAATGAAATTATTTAATTTGTCAGAATCTATAACTTTTTGATAAAAACTAATTTGTACAAGAAATTTGCAAAACCCCAGGTGAATATTTTAAAAATGATTGAGCTGTTCTTTCCTTTTAGATACATATATAAATCGACAGTAACTGGAAGTTCTGTACATTTTTGTAATTGCAACATGAAATTACACTTGGCCTTTTTCAAAGCTTTTCTCACTAATAAATTCATGGTATCTGCTACATTTTAGATTTTCAAATCCATGACTTATCATGACTTAACGAAGTTATTATTTTCTCCGACAAAAACACAACAATACATTTAAAAACACATCATAATAACATTAATTGAAATGATAGGTATAACCAAAATTGCTATACTCTGTATCTTCATATTTATAGATTTTAATTTTAAAAAACAGAATGAAGAAAGAGTTGTAGAAATAAAATAGCTCAAAAAATACAAAAGCAAATAATTTTTTTTCTGGAAAATTATATTCTAAACATATTTTTCGTGCTCATTAGAAAGGAAAGAAATACTCTTGATTTTTCTGTTCTCATTTTGGAATAAAAAAATTTGTTAATGACTTGCTTGCTTCAGAATTTTAAATTGATAAAATAAAAATAAAAAAATTCTGAAATCACAGAAGTTTAAAAGATAATCTGCTCTGGAAATGTTTTTTCTTTCATTTTTTGAAAGAACATGATAAAAACAGTTTATATTTTAATAAAATATGACTGTGAGTGGGGATTTTGTTAGAAATTCAAATATTCGGAACACCATGAAATTGGAGGAGGGGGAGATTCCATTTTAAAAATTAGATTTTTTGGCTATCTAAATCTATGACTATCCATGATTTTTTTTAAAAAATAGTAAAAATCATGACATTTCATGACAAATTTTGTTCTACACCGAAATTTATGACTTTCTAGGTGCGCGGACAGCCTGTAAGTTTAAAAGTTACGATTTGATTAATTTACAAATTAACTTTTTTACGTAATATTCACAAAATGTTTCTCAATATTTGTCTAAAAAATTTCATTTTCTTATATTTATAATCATTTGTAAATAGCTTTTGCACACACAAACAAATAAATATTATTAAATCATTTCATTGATACACTTACTGAAATATTCTTGACTTGCATTTTGTCTTGAATCTTAGAACTTGACAAAATTAACCACTGATTTCATATCTAAAATAATATACAATTAAAATAAATCATCATGCATGAAGTTTAAAAAAAAATTAGTTTCTAACAAAAAATCAGAAATAGAGTTTGACTTTAGTAACACATGAGAAAAATATATATTAAAATAATTACTATGACATTTACATACTAAATTTTAAGTTATATAAGAATTAGTCTTTTAATCATTAGTTATTCAAGGTCTATAAATAAGTACTGTGTTTTTATTATCAGGGGTCTGTCTAGGTTTTTCTGAAAGGTACCTATTTTGTGAAAAATTAGACATAATTTGTGAAAAATTAAAAATTATATTAAAAAATCAATAGAAAAACATGGTAAAAATATAGATTTATTGTTTCTTAAGGGATACAAAAGTAAAATTTTAAGAAAAAGCATTTTGTGAAACTACCGTTTTTCCTAAAGTTGAATTTGTGAAACTACCGTTTTACCTAAAATTGAATTTGTGAAGATACCGCTAAACGGTAGTAAATTCGGCCTGGACAGACCCCTGATTATAATAGCAAGATGAAATAAAATAGCATAACTTTCACTGTAAGCAATCAGGAAGATAGATTGTGGATCTTTCAGAGGAATTACAATAAATCACTGTATGAAAATCAATCCAAAGATAATTACAACAAACAAAAAATTGCTTTAACTGTTACTGCAAGCAATCAGGCAGATTGATTGTAAATGCATCAGAAGAATTACAATAAAGCAGGTAGTGAAAATCAATCATTTGGCCGATAATTGTAATAAATAGAAAATCGCATAATTTTCTCAGCATGCAATTAGATAAATAGATATTTTTATTTTATTTTACAAGTCGTTGAACAGATGACCCAATTTTTTGGGTTTATGACTTCTAATGTTCAACTCCGTAGCCTTGAAATTTTTAACCCAATCCAGAAGACAAGAAACACCTGAATTAAATATTGGGAGAAATTTGCCATTGTGGAGCACTTTTTGATGGAACAAACCAGCATTTGCGTGAGAGGTAAACCACAAAAACTACCCATGGTTAACCTGATGGCAAAGGAACCCACGACGCATCTAACACTGAGGATATTTTATGTCAGCACTGTGGTGGATGCAAGCCGGATGCGGAATTCACAATGACCAGCCACCTATGGAATTTGAACCCGATTCACCCGACGCTCCATCCCCTGAGTCATTATATCTCAGACAGATAGATTTTAGATGCATCAAAATTGCAATGAATCAGGTCAGAAAAGTCAATCAATCATTTGACAGATTTACAGCAAACTGCAAAGACTGCTAAATATTTCGAAAAAAAAAAAAAAAGATCTCCCTTTTCGCAATACTGATAAAAATAAAAACTGGTGAAAATGAAAATAATTGAGGAAGACTGTAGAAACAAGCATAGTTGTTTATCTGAATAAGTTACTAAAAACTTATTAAATGAAGAGCTGAATAAGAAATTTTTTAGGAAAGTCAGATAACTGGGCAGAGTAGAATACAAGTATCAGAAATAACCATCTACGTCAACAGAGACAAATGATCACTTTCTAAAACAACAAGCACCATTATCAATACCAAGATACTAAATTTAAACAAATACTAAAAGGCCAATAGGGGTGCACAACCTTTTTGAGTGAAGGACCACTTGCACAGCAGGTTGACTAATGAAGGGCCGCACATATATTTAGTCGTGTTGGTAGCAAATATGATAATTTTTATCTTAAAACTGGTGTTCTGAACAATAAATATTTTCATCAGTTAACTTAGTAATTCATTTTCTGAAAATTAAATACTTTAATTATTAAAATTCATTCAATAAAAAAAAATTCATAATTTTTTACTTTTTTTTGTCTTTTTTATTAATTGATTTATCTCTATGTATATATATATGTATGTAACATAAAAAGCTTTTATTAATCTTTTTATGTTAGTTTCTTTGCTATAAAACAACTCCTACTTTATTACTAATTAATTATTCAAATCGAAATACTTTCTCACACTTTTAAAAGCTACATCCTGTTTCTAAATCTATTTTTGGCCCAACTATGCATAAATTTAAATAAAGATCTTTTTTCCCTTTTAAGCCGTGGGAATCACTCGAGCAAGTTCATTAACCAATAGTAATTTCTGAGATTTCCCTCTTTTCCCTAAATAGAGACATTTTAGGATTTTTTGCAAGATTTTCCCTACCAGAAAGACTGTTTGCTGATGGAGTAAACATCACTTCTTCGCTCTCACTCAACTCAGTGTTTTGACTTCT